CCCACACTTCTGCTGATACTGGGATAATAACGTAGAAGACCTCTGTACAAGCTGGAAGTGTCCTTGTTTTACTGGATGCAGCTATGGTGAAGTGACACTTGTTTTTTACGTAACATACTAGATAGAACTCACACATCCAAACAAAAGAAGCTATAATTTACAAGCAGTGACAGCACACTCCAAAAATATAGCCGTTGCTCAAAACATTTGTGCAACAGTCTTCCGTCTGCATCAAAAAGCCTCATTGTTTTATTTATTGCTCTTTTTAAATTTTTTAACCATAAAGGATATATCCCTAACCTTTTCTCTTTATTCATCATACTTGGCACTCAAAGCCTCAGAGGCTTTTGACCACCCAGGTGCCTCCAGGTGCCCTGCCAAGCCACTGCTCTGAGAAAGCAACCCCACCCCCAGATAGTGAGAATCTGACTTCAGATGAATGCAATACACAGGCAGAGAACTGGTCAGGGGCTGGGAGGCTCTTGAGATTTGGAGAAATCTTAAGCAAATTAGTCCTCAGACAGCATCAGGCTGGCAGGTACAGATGCAGTATTTGATACTTGTCTACCAGATGGGGAAGGTGGAGGAGGAGAGGAAGGGATGAGAATGCATGTCAGCAATGGCTAAGAGCCAGATAGGCCCCAGAGATGCCTTACCCCTTCCCTGCCCTTTTCATGCATGTGGAAAAGAGAGTAAAAGTCATAAAGCCAGCAAGGAGCACACCTGGGCCTATCAGGGAGAAATCAGAGGGAGGGCAGGCAGAGCTGGGAAGAATGGGTGTGGTGGTAGGCACCATCAGTTTAGTCTAAAAGAAGAAAAGACTGAGGGCAGAGGCTTCAGGAAGGTTAACGGGGAGAATTTGGTGTAGCGACTGAGACAGCAGTGTGCCCTGTCACCTTGTGGCTTATCCAGAGGCAGGATGAGCCCCAGGTATGCTGGAAGCCTGCAGCAATGAAATGGTGCCTGCCTCCTGCCCCTGCTCTTCCTGCAGCTGTCTCTGAACACCCCTCCTCTTCAAGGTGTCCACTCCCAGAAGAATGACTCACTACCTGGGTCACACACAGTAGGGGCATGTCTGCAGCCATAAATCCGGCAACCTCCTCTGGAGGAGACTCATCCTGACAGAAGCAGCTCTGCCTGCGGGCCTGGGCTTGCTACTCTTTTGAGCCAGGAAGGGGAGAGGCCAGCTGGCCAGGGGGTAGTCATCTCTCCCCTTCACAGAACTCAAGCTGTGGCATACTCTCATGGAGAAGAAAGTACAGAGATTGCACTTTGGTAGGGCCACAAAGGATACAGTCTTGGGAGGCTTAATAGAGGAAATATTAAATCAATAAAACCTCATTTCCAAGTTCGGTTTAGCAGCAGAATCCATTAACCTTATATTCACCCTCTCCTTTCCTCTTATAATACTGGGGAAGGGTTCAAAGGCATGATAACTTATCCTCAGGGTCAGCGCGTTCTATTCAATTACTGGGATTCGAGTTTTCAAGCTAAAAGATATATACTCATTTTGATTGTAAAGAACAAACCCAAAAAGAATGCTTCTTTCTTTTCATTTTGCAGAAAACGCCACACCAACACAACCATGGGTATTTAGCTCTGCTGAAACAGATGAGGGGAGTAAGGCTGAGAGAGGAGCTCAAATCAGTTCTGATTTTTCTCTTCATAAAAGAATTTCTAGCAAATCAAGAGCAAAGTTGGATCTGATTGCCTCTGGAACTAAGGCCACTCAATGTGGGCTTCCTCACTCAGTCTTGTCCCCAGGCCAGAGCAAAGCAAAACTCAGTCTCATTTATTTTGTCACCTAAATCGTCAAAACCTAAAATAAAACCTGGTGCAACTGCAGAAACACGGTGCTCTAGGGAGCAGTGGGGCAAGTCATTCCCACCAGCTAGCCCTCTGGATGGATAATTGTAAAGTGCTGACCTCTCTGGTGAGATACTAATGGTCAAGGGCTGGGCTGGGCAAGAGGCTGGGTAGGGCGGGCCAGGCTGGGCTGGACTGGATAGGGCAGGGCAGCCTGAGCTCGGATAATCAGATGCAGCTCCCATTAAACCTTCAGTGTGAGAGCAGCATAGCATCCTGATGCCGTTGCCATGGCATTTTCTCTCTCCTGGTGTCGGACCCAGGCCAGGATGCCCTGAAGCCTTGATGCTGACAGCAGTGATAGTGCTGGCTCTGAGCATGATTTTCTGCCCACCCACCCTCCTGTGCTCTCTGAAACCTAAGGCAGCCCTGTTTGGAAGAGCCTCGCAATCCAGCGGCTTGGCTTTTTGGCTGCCGCTTTCTACACTTTGATGTTAAATATAGTGACTTCAGAAGCAGCCAACACCAGAAGGCAAAAGAGGGCTGGTTTTAGCATTTTGCATTCAGCAACATCCTTTTAGTGAGAATGGAGAAGAAAACAGCCAAATCATCTACCTCCCCAATCATTAAGAGTGTCGGGGTTGGGTGCGGTGGCTCACGCCTGTAATCCCAACACTTTGGGAGGCTGAGGCAGGTGGATCACCTGAATTCAGGAGTTAGAGACCAGCCTGGCCAACATGATGAAAGCTGTCTCTACTAAAAATACAAAAATTAACCAGGCGTGGTGGCACATACCTGTAATCCCAGCTACTTGGGAGGCTGAGGTTGCAGTGAGCTGATATCACACCATTGCACTCCAGCCTATGCCATGGAGTGAGACTCTGTATCAAATAATAATAATAATAATCCCTGATTTCTACCCCATACCATTCAAAGTAGAACCTCTGAGGCATGAGGCTCAGGTATTGGCGTGCTCTAGCAGCTCCTAGGTGGTTCTCATGTGCAACCAGGGCTGAGATCCACAGCTTAGAGGAAGGGATGCTAACATGGTCATTCATCTGGTGTAAGTATTGCACTGCTGCTGAGTGCTGGGTACTGGGGACATAGTGGAAGGCAAGACAGACCTAGTCCCTGCCCTTACAGAGCTCACAGCCCAGAGGGGGAAGGGAGTCGGTGACCCTGGTTCTAGTCCTGTCTCTGCCACTGATGATCCTGAGCTCCTGTACTTTTTCCTTTTCTTCTGCAGGCCCTAAGTTTACTGTCAAAGGATGTTACAGACCCAAATGATCTCTGATCCCCACTCTGCTACTTCCCAACTCAACAGTCCATTGACCTATGTATAATTTTTCTGTCTTTTTTGGTGGTGGTTTTTAAAATACACATAACATTCAATTTACCATTTTAACCATAAAAAAAAATTTTTTTTTTGAGACAGAGTCTCTCTGTGTCACTCAGATTGGAGTGCAGTGGTGCGATCTTGGCTCACCGAAACCTCCGCCTCCTGGGTTTGAGGGATTCTCCTGCCTCAGCCTCCCAAGTAGCTGGGACTACAGGCACATGCCCGGCTAATTTTTTGTATTTTTAGTAGACACAGGATTTCATAGTGTTAGCCAGCATGGTCTCGATCTCCTGCCCTTGTGATCTGCCTGCCTCAGCCTCCCAAAGTGCTGGGATTACAGGTGTGAGCCACCGAAACTGCCCCCCCAAAATTTTTTTTTAAGAAACAGGGTCTTACTGTGTCACCTAGGCGGGAATGCAGTGGTGCAATCATATCTCACTGCAGCCTCAAACTCCTGGACTTAAGCAGTCTCCCTGCCTCTGCCTCATTAGTAGTTGGGACTGTAGGCGCAAGCCACTATGCTCAGCTAATTTTTAAATATTTTGTAGAGGCAGCATCTTGCTCTGTTGCCCAGGTTGTTCTTGAATCCTGGCTTCAAGCAACTCTCCTGCCTCAGCCTCCCAAAGTTCTGAGATTACAGGTGTGAGCCATCTCGCCTGGCCCATATTAACCATTTTAAAGTGTACAGTTCAGTGGCATTAAGCACGTTCACATTGTGTGCAACCATCAACACTATCCATCTCCAGAACTCTTTCATTTTCCCCAAACTGAAATTCTGTGTTCATTAAATAATAACTCCCCATTGCCCCTACACCCCCTCAACAACCTCTGGCAACCACCATTCTACTTTCTCTCTCTAAATTTGACTACTCTATGTACCTCATATGAGTAGAATTATCTAGTATTTGTCTTTGAGAATGGCGTATTTCACTGAGCGCAAGGCCCTCAAGGTTCAGCCATATTGTGCATGCAATAGGATTTCCTTCCTTTTTAAGACTGAATAATATTCCATTATATGTGTATCCAATTTGCTTATCCAATCATTAGTTGATGGCCACAGGCTGTTTACACCTTTTGGCTGTTGTGACTAATGCTGCTATGAACAGGACTGTAAATATCTCCTCAAGGCCCTGCTTTTAATTCTTCTGGGTATATACTCAGAAGTGGAATTGCTAGATCATAGGGTAATTCTATGTTTTAACTACCATACTGTTTTCCACAGCAGCTGTACCATTTTACATTCCCACCAAAAGTGTAAAAGCATTCCAATTTGTCTATATCCTTGCCAACACTTGTTATTTTCTATTTTTTGATAGCAGCCATCCTAATGGGTGTGAGGTGATACTGCAATTGATTTTTAATAATCCCAATAGCAAATGCCTGTATAGTACTGACTCTGTGCCAGGGTCTGTTCTAAGTGTTTCATGTATATCAGCCCATTTAATTTTCATAACAAATGTATCAGGTAAGTACTGTTGTTTTCACTAGCTTTGGCACCTGGAAGTTAAATCATTTGCTCAAGACCATACAACTAGTAAGTAACAGAGCCTGTATTTGACTCTATGGGCTCACAAACCTAACATCCTCATGTTTGGGGTGATTTTTGATGGCTTAGGCCTGTCATAAGCTTTTCAGTCTAGAGTTTGGTGAGTGAAGAACCTAGTTATAACACCAGCCCTCAGGCCAGGACCTCTCCCCGGATGTTCTCTTGTGATAGCAGCACCCCTAGAACGGTTCTGTTGGCTCAGCCATCTGTTTGGGAGGAGAATGTGGTGGTTCTGGTCTCTTCCCATTTCCTGCCAAGGCTCACTTATTCCAGGAGAAATGTAAACCCATTTTCTCTCTGATTTCACAGAAAAGGCAACAGATGGCTCCCTGCAAAGTGAGGATTGGACGTTGAATATGGAGATCTGTGATATCATCAATGAGACGGAGGAAGGGTACGTGTGCCCCCCCTCTCCTGGGAAGCCTCTCTCAGCTTTTAGGGGTCACTCAAAGCTTGTCAGGGCCTAAGGGTGGCAGGTTTCATTTTTTGTTTTGTTTTTAGTCTGTTTGCTTTGGCATTAATAAGCTGACACTCTGAATTATCTGTCCTTTTTGTCTTCATCCCTCCCCCACTTGCCCAATGGCAGTGCTGGAGGTAGAGCAGGGAAGACCTCTGTTAATCACCTGCTTTTAATCACAAGTGGAAATGAAGCTGCTTGATTACTTGGTTCCCAGTGGCCATTAGTCTCTGCGCCCGAATGTCACCTCTTCCCTCCCCTTCTCCCTGGCCTCTGCCTCTCCTTCGCAGCCTGTCTCTGCCCTGGTTTGCCAGGAGTCAGCACCACAGTGTCCGTGGAGGGAGGTCTAGGGCATGGAGCAGACACAGCTGGGAGTGGGAAAGTGACGTGAATGTACTTAGCCCACTTTGCCCCTCCTGCATTTCTGCACTGCTGGATGCATTCTTGTTATTATTTCCTGTATCTTCTTCTGCTTTATAGATGCACTCTGTTTGTACTTCTTCCAAATTGGTCTGTATTTAGTCCTACGTCCCTACCACAAACACTTATTTTACTGTAACCATGCCCTCTTAAACAGTTTTCAGAGTGGCAAGGAGGGCAGCTGGGACTCAGGCATCCCTGGGCTGGCATCTCAGCACTGTCACTCTAGCCTTGCCATGTGCGAACTGGGGACCAGCCCCTTGAGCTTGGTCCTGCTTTTATGCCACAAATATTTCTTGAGTGACGACCTTATACCAGGCCCTATTATAAATACTGAGGACACAGCAGTGAACAAGACAGACTCCCTCCACTTGGGGAGCTGCCAATCTAGAGTTGGGAGGCAGGCCATGAACAAGATAATTAAACATATAACCTGTTCAAGTGAGGACAAGACTGTGGAAGGGAGATGGGAAGAGAGGAGGATGGGAAGAAAGGAGGCTGGTCATGACAATGACCCCTCGACAGCTTCTCTTTGAGCTCTTCAACCCCACTAATCTTTCAGCTCCTTGAATTTTCCACGTTCCTGGTCCCAGCTTGAAATTCTCCACAAATTTGAGCAATACACAAAAATGTTGGCAACTCTTATTTTCCAGTGAATTGCTCAAACATCTCTATGGTTTGAGGGCAGGAAGCCCAGGAACCCCGAGAGCGTCCTCATTCTGAAGGGGCTAATGCCTTCTTTTTCAAACCCTCCGCTCCCAGAAGGCTGGTCACACACATCTTCCTCTTCAAGTGGCCCAAGCTCCTGTTGCTCCCTTTTTGAGTGAGAGCACCTCAGTGATTCCTGATGATATTCTCTCCTTGCCTCTGCTGTGAGGTGTCTCAAAACGTCTTCCTACCTGGATGCACTGGCTCATGCCTGTAGTCCCAGCTATTCAGGAGGCTGAGGTGGGAGGATTGCTTGAGGCCAGGAGTTTGAGACCAGCCTAGAAAATGTAGTGAGACCCCATATCTTAAAAAAAAAATTCCTCCTAAGTGGGAGAAACTCCTACAAGTTGGACTGACAGTAGTTTACCCCACCTACACCTTTGTGCCTTCCCTGAAGGGCGTCTGACCTACTGTCCCTTCTGTTCCCATCACCTTTCTAAGTAGATCCTATCATTCACTGGATCTGTTTGAATCTCATTTTTCTAACTCCCTTCTCTCCTGAATTGAACAAGTCCTCTATTACATGATTTCATAAGCTGTGTTGTACTGATGCCCATCACAGTTTAAGCTTATAAATCTGTGGGACAGTTATTAGTGTCTGTCTTGCCCTGCAACCCCCATGAGGCTGTGAGCTCCAGGAGAATTTCCATCTGTTTTGCTCACCGTTTCGTCCCTAGTACCTAGCACAATGCGTGTGATTAGCTCTTGATAAATATGTGTTAAATAAATGAATAAATGAATGAAGTCTCTAAGGCACTCATAGTCTGATGAGGAATGCAGGCATAAAAACATAAGCATAACACAGCATGATGAGTGCTGGGTGCGGGGAGGGAGAAAGAGAGAGAGAAGCTATATATAGCTACAGAGACTAGTGCAGTGGTAGTGGGCAGCCTTGGGACTTTGGGCAGCAAAGCCTTCTTGGAGGAGGTGACACCAGACTGGAGTCTTACAGGGTGCCAGGGTATTAGCCAGATGAGGCAGGTGGAGGAAGGGGAGGAAATGGAAACCCCAGGCTGGAGCAATCCTAGGTCATCACTCACTTACTGTGCGACCCTGTGTGAGCTACTCATCTCTCTGTGTCTGTGTCTCATTTCCTCATTTATAAAATGGAATTGCCAATAATACCTGTCTCATAGGGTTGTTATAAGGATTAAAGGAGTAAATATATATGAAGTATCTGGCTATGTAACTGTATCTTCATATCCATACTATATATATGGATTTACTATTTCCCTTTAAAGATTTCCATTGCCCATGACTTTTGTCATCATTCACTTGGGTGTCAGTTATCTGCCCAGTCTTGGTGATGATCTCTGTGGATTCACTGCCCTTACCCTGTCTGCCATCTCTGAGCACTTGCCACGGGCCAGGCCCTGTGTCCAGCCATGCCATACGTCATCACAAACAGCGCCCCCCACCCCCAACAGCTCTATATGGTAATGACAGCCAGTTTCAGTGTTAAGGAAACTTAGGCCGCGTAGTTTGGGCACTTGCCAAAGGCCTTGCAGCACAGCTCGGAAGGGCACTTGCAGGATGCGGGCACAGGCTCACCTGGCCGCAGCCGCTGAAGTGCTGCCTGTACGCCTTGTGTTTGTGCGGTGCTTTACCAATGGGAGGCTGTGGTCCTAGTGGGTGTAGATTGGTAAACTACCCAGAGGCCTCTCCTTGGCCTTTCCCTAATGTCCAGGGCTGAGGTCACCATCAGCCTGAGGAATGCTGGTGCTTAAGGCCTTGTGTGACAGTCCCTCAGACATTAACCAGGAGTGGCTGACTGAATAACCTACCTGGGACTGTTTTTATTTATTTTTTATTTATTTATTTTATTTTTTTGAGACAGAGTTTTGCTCTTGTCACCCAGGCTGGAGTGCAAAGGCGCCATCTCAGCTTCCTGCAACCACCACTTTCCAGGCTCAAGCAATTCTCCTGCCTCACCCTCTGTAGTAGCTGGGATTACAGGTGTGCACCACCACACCTGGCTAATAGTGTATTTTTAGTAAAGACGGGGTTTCACCATGTTGGCCAGGCTGGTCTTGAACTCTTGACCTCAGGTAATCCGCCCACTTTGGCCTCCCAAAATGCTGGGATTATAGGCTTGAGCCACAGTGCTCGGACTGGGACTGTTTTAGACTGTTTTCCTGGCCTCGCCCCAGACCTGCCCAATTAAGGCACAGCTTGTGGATTTGGGAATTGCACTCCAGGTGACTCTGATGTGCAGCTCTCATGAGGACCCACTGACCTGGGTCATTTTCATGGCCATCTCTGGACCCTCCTCAGCCACAGAATCTTTGTCTATATTCTACCTTCTAAGCTGGAAAGGGCACAGAGGAGGAACTGAAGACATGCAATAGAGCAAGGTAATAACTAGGGAGGGGGTGTTCAGGGTGATGAAAGAGGGGCAGCGGTGTCACCCTTGAGGGTGATGAGGTGAAAGCTTTTCCAGAGAGTAGTTCTGAAGGTGAAGGACAAAGAGATATAAAGGCCGTGGCTGGAGGCATGACAGGAAGTTTGTTTGGGGATCAGGAAAGAGTTCTTGTAAGTCTAGGGTCCAGGGAGACTTTGAGGAGCCTGATCATGGCCCAGAGGCCAGATCATGAGGCTGTGAGCACTGCCTGAGGAGCTGGACCTTTCCCCTGAAGGCTGCTAGGGCTTGGTGCCATGTCAACACAGGCCACCGATTCTTCCCGATCCTTTCTTTCTGCTCCGTCTGGCTCTTGACACACGCTTCTCTCTCTTCTCCTGGTTTCCAACTCCACACTATCTAATCTGCTGCAGCTTCTTGAAACTTTGTGATTCCGTTGACATGACTTTGATCCTTCTCTCTGAAGCTTCTCCCCCAGGGAGAGAGATAAATACTTGCTTTTGTGCTCACCCATCACTCTCAGCCAGTACTTCCCACAGCCTGTGGATGAATTTCCATTTTAAACCTCACCCAGGAGCCTGCTGACTGTCTGATTTCCCACCCCGCTGCCCCCACACCAGGAGAGCCCTGAATGTGCTGGTGCTCTGCCAGCCAGAAGTGATCGTGGCCCTCAGGTGCTCTTCCTATTTTCCCGTTCCGTGGAAGTTCAAGAGGACAGAAGAGAGACAGGACTGAGGGGTGTGGCGGCTGTGGGTCAGGGACAACAGTGATTTGGCAGAGCCTTGGAGAGAGGAAATCAGTCCATGCTCTTGGCCAGTAGCCACTGAATTTCATCAGCTCTCAGGCCACAAACAGCCCTCAACACAGAGAGCTGGTTAAGTCCCATATTTGCAGAAATCAGCATCCCCTTTTGGAAATGGCAGCTGTACTGCAGACATACTTGGCTCTGGGCCCAGTCCCCATGGAGCCTTATGTCTCATCTGCCCTTTGACCCAGGGGCCAAGAATTCCTGCAAGGCAGCCATATGTCAAGCTGGGAATGGGAAACAGGTGATTCAGGGTGTTTTAAAAATTTCTTCCAAAGCCTTGCTCCTTTCACCTTTTTTTAATTTTTATTTTTGAGATGGAATCTCATTCTGTCAACCCGGCTGGAGTGCAGTGGCATGATCTCGGCTCACTGCAATCTCCACTTCTCAGGTTCAAGTGATTCTCTTACCTTTGCCTCCAGAGTAGCAGGAATTACAAACACATACCACCATGCCCAGCTAATTTTTTTGTATTTTTGTAGAGAAAGGGTTTCACCATGTTGCCCAGGCTGGTCTTGAACACGTGACCTCAAGCGATCTACTTGCCTTGGCCTCCCAAAGTGCTGGGATTACAGGCATGAGCCACCATGCTTGGCCCACTTTCTCTTAAATTAAGCTGATTAGCAGAGCATCTATTCTTTCCCTTCCTCAACTTCCTCATATACATTTGAAGGGGCCCTTTCATTTGGTAAATAGAGTATAAATATTTTAAAACTGTAGGAATAGGAGATCCCTGATGTACAAACATTCAAGCTGGGAAATACCAGTGTATTGGCGTATGGATTAGTGGAAGGCTGGAATCCATGTGTGATAGCAAAGGGCTGATCCACAGCCAGACTAAGGGCTTCCCAGAGCATAGGGTGATGGGTCAGCACAGGGACTTTGTGCCAGGGGCAGCTTCTAGGCCCACAGCTTTGTTGAATCCTGAGTTAGAATAAATTAAATGTTAGACATAAGACCTACTTGTAATATGTATACTTAGAGGGCTGGCTGAGGATCCTAACTCTAAGGTATAACAGTAATTAAGGAAGAACTCACTCCAACTTCCATGCAACTTCACTCCAACTTTTGGACATGGCCCATTTGTGAATTGAGTATTGCCTATAATTCTACAAGATTTTCTCTAGGGATCTACCTCAGATCTGTCACCTAAAAGCACAAAACTTGTTGGCTTTTTTTTTTTTTTTTTTTTTTGAGATGGAGTTTTGCTCTTGTTACCCAGGCTGGAGTGCAATGGCGCGATCTCGGCTCACCGCAACCTCCGCCTCCTGGGTTCAGGCAATTCTCCTGCCTCAGCATCCTGAGTAGCTGGGATTACAGGCACGCGCCACCATGCCCAGCTAATTTTTGTATTTTTAGTAGAGACGGGGTTTCACCATGTTGACCAGGATGGTCTCGATCTCTTGACCTTGTGATCCACCCGCCTCGGCCTCCCAAAGTGCTGGGATTACAGGCTTGAGCCACCGCGCCCGGCCTAACTTGTTGGGTTTTAAGGAGACTCACTTAAGCTTTCTCTGGGAAAAAGAGTTCCATGAAATTTAGGAAGAGCTGGACATCCAGGCCTCACAAGTACCTGGCACTGTCTCTTCTGTGTCTCTCTTATGGTTTCTCTGGAAAAACTCTCTTCTGTGTGCCCACACACCAGTGGGTTAGTTATGGTTTTGAATAAATAATACTTGCAAGTGACGCAGAATTCAAAAGGTCTGCAGAAAGGCAGTCCAGTGAAAAACCTCCCTCCCACCTTTGGTTCCCTTCCTTAGGGGCAGCCACAGTTACCAGGTTGTTGTAGCTCCTTCTAGAGATTCTCTTCCCTATGCTGGCTTGTGTGCTATGTATACTTCCCTTCTATAACTCAACTAATAGCAAACTTTGTACACTGTTATGCAAAGAACTTTGTGCACATGTCTTTGAGTTTGGTCCATATTGGTGCAAGAGTTTCTTTATTCTTTTTTGCAGCTGCATAGTATTCCATTGTGTTGATTTAATTTAACCTGTTTTGTATTGATGGACATGCAGTTTGTTTCTAGTCTTTTACATTTACAAACATGCTGCAGCCAGCGAATAGTTTTGCATATATGCTAGTTCACATATCTGTAGGATCGTATCCCCAAGTGGCATTGTAAGTATCTTAAAATGTCTGTCCTTTTCTCCAGGCCAAAGGATGCCATTAGAGCCCTAAAGAAGCGGCTCAACGGGAACCGGAACTACAGAGAGGTGATGCTGGCATTAACAGTGAGTGCTACTCTCCTTGGGGAGGGAAGGCATCTGGGGGACTCCTTGCTTCTAGCCTTGCCCCCGTCATAGAGCTTTCCTTCTGCCCACTCAGCACAACCTCAGAATGGCTTGGTGCCTGGGCCACTGGAATTCAGCAAAGCCTTCTGGTATTGCCTTTGGGTTTTCCTGTCCTCTGAAACAGGGAATGAGCTTCAATTTGGTGAATGTATATCCGTAAAAGATAAGGTGTGTGCAGTGCCATCAGTTACAAAAGTCCAGAGCAGAGGAGCTAAAGGTCTGGAGTAGGTCACTTTTCAGCCAGCAACCTGCTCTGAGACTGAGACCAACTCCTTCTCTAGATGTCAGTTTCCTCTTTATAAAAATGTTGACTGGGTGCAGTGGCTCACACTTGTAATCCCAGCACTTTAGGAGGCCGAGGTGGGTGGATCACAAGGTCAGGAGTTCGAGACCAGCCTGGCCAATATGGTGAAACTTTGTCTCTACTAAAAATATAAAAAATTAGCCGGGTATGGTGGTGCGTGCCTGTAGTCCCAGCTACTTGGGAGGCTGAGGCAGGAGAATCGCTTGAACCTGGGAGGCAGAGGCTACAGTGAGCCAAAATCATACCGTTGTACTCCAGCCTGGTGACAGAGGGAGACTCTGTCTCAAAAAAAAAAAAAAATGTTAAATTCCACCTGTTAAGTACCGGCCTGGGACTGTGCTGAGCTTTTTGGACAGTAATGCAGATGTTTACAACTACCCTCCAAAAGATATTTCACTATGCCCCTCATACAGATGAGGAAACTGAGGCTCAGAGAGATCTGGAGGTTTACCCAGCCTTCACAGCTAGTGAGGTACCAAGCTGTGGATTGCCATCATAAAGCAGTCTTTTGCATGGGGTAAAAACTGAAAATAGCTACAAAGACTCTTGAAAAAGTCAGCCAAGTGACTTTTTTCAGGAAGGAACAGACCAGATTTTTGCCCTTACCAAAGCTGTCAGAGAATTTAAAAAGACGGCTTCAGGTATTATTTCTGTCTTGAGAGCTAACAGTTTTTCAGATGTGACAAAATCTGGGCCACAGTAAGTTCTTAAAATAGAAACTGTAACAGGTCACCAGGTCAACGTCTCTGGGGCTTGGAAATAGTAGGTTATTTATCCAAAACAGCCATGTTTCCTTTTAAAGCACAGAGCCTGTTTGGATTTTTTGCCCAAGTGAAACCCCGAAACTTATTAAGAGAGCTCTGCCAGGGAATTGGGATTTGAATAATAGAGAAAAGACTGGTTAAGAAATAGAGAGTTGAAGCTTTTATTTTTATTTTTTCTCAGAATTTGAACCACAGCATTGACTAAACCAGGAGTGATGCTCAAAATGAATGGCTTTCAATAACTCATATCACCAGGGAATGAGCCCTAATGTATATGTCAGGGCATGCTACTGCTATCTAAAATTTCTGTATTTACACACCCAACTTCATGGTCATCGTGTTGGATGGAAATCTTTCCAAGTGAACTCTGGGTTTACTTGCCGTCCTCTAGCAGGGCACGATGGACACTGTTTGACCTTTCCTGCAGATTGGGTCTTCACTACAAACCCAGCCATGCCTTTGGGAGGCCTGTGAAATGCACAGAGCTGCCGTCCCTACCCTGAGGCTCCATCCTAGTGCACTTTGCGTGGTCTCCTGTCTCCTGCTAGGGCTTCACTTACCCTGTTAGTCGCTTTCAGTCCTCCTGTCTCTTGTGGCCCTTTCCTGACTTCATATCTGTACCCACCAAGCTTGTTAATATTTACCCAAAATAAGTTAGTAAGAAGCCCCGAGGGCCTCTCTGCTTGTGGACTTAAAACATCATTTGTGGACTTAAAACATCATTTCTGATTGCTTAGAGGATCCTTTTGGTTTCACTATGGGTTTTGGCTTCATTCTGGAAAATTACAACTGTATGTTTCATGCCTTTCAACCCATAGGGACAAATCCGTTAGGGTCGTGTTTGGCAGGGTGGCCTAAATAGCTCTTGCCAGCCCAAAGAGAACGTCCTGTACCTCCTGCTAAGACAGGCTTTGGGACTGCTCTGTGGCATATGCATCTCTGTCCAGGACACTTCCAAGGCCAGGCTGGGACACACTGACCTTGAGGACTGCTGTGCTGGAGAAGCTAAGCATGAGTTTCCTAAAGGTGGGAAGCGGCTCCTGCCCACTGCTGCTCTCAGAGTGGAGTAGAGCCCCAGGCTGCCCTGCCCCTCAGACCTATGCCTCTTTTTCCAATTCTCTTTCCCACTCGCAGCCTTGCCTTTCCCACCTGCTTCTCATGAAATAAAGTATACTTCTTGCCATCTGCCCTGACCCCAACAGCCCACTGCCTGAGTTGGGAGAAAGATTTTAGAGAATCCTAGAGAGAAAGGTTCCTATAAGTCCCTTGAGGGCAGAAAGAACCCCTCTAGTTCATCTCAGTGCCCTCATGGATCACTGTGAGACAGTGAATGCCAATTACCACATGGTTACCAGAATCAGGCACAAGCAGACTCGGAAAGGAAAATGCCTCCTTGGCTCAGTAAAATCTATGGTTGCTCAGAGGCCCTGGGGTGCTGAGCTCCAGCATCTTCCTTGGCAAGCCCAGAGGAACCTGTTGCCTCCTAAGGTGCAGCCTGCAGCGGGGCAAGAATCGATTCTGGCTGGCTGCAGAGCTGCACGGCATGGGGAGGCCCAGCTTTGGCCTCCTAGGTTAAGTTTCATGGCACCCCTTATCCTCAGTTTCCTCGTCTCTAAAATGGGATGATTCCCACCTTACAGGGTTATTTCCAGGACCAAATGAGGGAACAAGAAATCTAACACATGTTGCTTGTCATCTGAGGTACTCTCAGCTGATGTGGCTGCCTGGAGGAGATCTGTGAGGGAGGGAGGGAGGGAGGGCTCTGTGGCTTCGAGGTGGGGGAGTAGACTGGGGCTCCAGAGAAGGCTGATCACAGCTCCTGTGCTGCTTCTGACACTGACTGACAGTTTGTACCCAGACCAATGTCTTCACCTTTCTAAACCTCTTAACTCTAAAACATGGAATATTAAGGTCCATTTAAGGAGAAGTAATTAGCTGTGAGAATTGGATAAAATTACATATGATATGGAAGAATCTCTCATAGTGCCTGGCACATAGTTGCATTCAGTCAATGTTCCATTTATGGACTTTTCTTTACAGCTATGATTTGTCCAGGTAGAGCCCAGTTGCATGAACCCAACCCTGTGGGATGGCTGCAGAAGTCAATCAGTGGTTGGATTAGTTTGGGCAAATGAGAATAACCAAGGTAGTCAGAAATGTTCCCTGTTACTGGTGATGTGGTTTTGAGGAGGCATTCTCCAATTAGTAGACTGTGGCCTGGGGGCTGGTGGCATGGGAAGGGCCCCAATCCTATGGATTGGTTTACAGAGTGCTGGAAAGTTCAGAGAGCTCTTCCCAGTTGGTACCTCCAAATTCCAAGAGGCTACACACCTGTCCTATGGGAGAATAAGAGGCCACCCCCTTCCTCGTGTGTACAGCAGCCTTCTGAATAATAATCATGTAATCATGATCATCATTTATTGGGTACCTCCCCTATGCATGATTTTTTGCTAGGTGCACTATGTATGTACGTATGTTTTTAAGACAGAGTTCTGTTCTGTTACCTGGGCTAGTGCCGTGGCGCAATCTCAGCTCACTGCAACGCGCAATCTCAGCTCACTGTAACCCCTGTCTCCCAGGTTCAAGCAACTCTCCTGCCTCAGCCTCCAGAATAGCTCAGACTATAGGTGCATGCCACCAAGCCTGGCTAGTTTTTGTATTTTTAGTAGAGGCGGGGTTTTGCCAGGCTGGTCAGGCTGGTCTTATACGCCTGACCTCAGGTGACCTGCCTGCCTCAGTCTCCCAAAGTGCTGGGATTACAGGCATGAGCCACCACGCCCAGCCTATGCTTTAAATGTATTCTTGCTAATCTTTGAACAATCTTGCAAAGGAGAGCTCATCATCTCCTCTTCACATATATGGATGCTGAGGCTCAGAAAGATGTCCTGGGCCATTCACGGAGAAAGTGGTGGAGCTGAGATGTGAGCCCTCACTGACCCTCTGGCCAGAACCAGTATGCTGGGCTTTTCTGAGCAGCTAAGGCCTGTGGCATTCGTTTTCCCAGACAAGGGAGGAGCAGCCAGAGTCTGAATCAAACATGGACCTTAAAGTCACCTGGCAGCTGAGGTCCACAAAACGTTTGTCAAGAGTGGAAAATCTTTTGTCATTCCCAATTTTGGTTTTAGAAGCAAGGTTGAGTGGGGGATGTGTGTATGCATTTGCTTTCTCACATATAAGGGCCAGTAACTCACTAAGCAATTCAAGCTGTCATAGCAGCCTCCTCTTGTGACAGAGCCCGTGTCCCATTGGCTAATGCCTCATACCCAGAGGCCCAGAGAGAGGAGTTGAAATGCTAATTTTCAGGGACGGCTCAGTCATTTTGATCCCATTAAAACACTAGCATCCTTATCATGCAAAACTGGTGCCTCAATTACCAACTAATTGCCTGATTATTGTGCAGGGACAGGAGACTTCAGTCAGTAAGGGGCTGCTGTCATCCCTGGAGAATGGAGTATGGGAATGCGTGTGCCATGCAGGTTTGGCTCTGGAAGAGACATGTCAGAAAGCTGATCTAGGAGCAAGACAGAGCGGCTGGTGGAAACTCAGCTGCCCTCCTCAGTTCCCAGTGTCTTTTCCAGCTCCCACTGGGGTGACCCCTCTCCTTCCTTCCCCACACCAGGTGCTGGAGACATGTGTGAAGAACTGTGGCCACCGCTTCCACATCCTTGTGGCCAACCGAGATTTCATCGACAGTGTTCTGGTCAAAATTATCTCTCCCAAGAACAACCCTCCCACCATTGTACAGGACAAAGTGCTTGCTCTGATCCAGGTAGGTCGGATCCCTTGCCCAATTTATTGGGATAGAGTAAGATGAAGTCTCTTATTGATGAGTCCTCATGCTCTTCCACCATTTGGAGGAAAAAAATGGAAGCTTCTACTTTTAAATATTTAATGCAAAATACTTGAAAAAAAATACTCATCCCACTGGAATGAAATTCTAATTGGTGGCTCTCCAGCCAGTTGACAGAGCCTTCTTGAAGCTTTCTGGATGCCGGCCTTCTGCTGCCTGCAAAGGCAAGTAGGGTGGTCTCAACAGGCCTCTGAGGAAACATGGAATAGGAAGAACCATGTCAGAGCTGTGTGTGGGCTTGGTGAGCTCGCAGGGCAGGGGCCAACTCTGGGGCAGGCAGAGGAAGGTGAGGGGCTAGGGATGGCATTAAGGGATGTTTCACTGAAGAGAGGACATTTCTATTGGACTCTGAAGAATAATGGGGAGCTTAGTGGAAAAGTCAATGTGAGAGACGTCACAGGCAGGGAGAATAGCATATTCAAAGGCCCACACGTATCAGAGAACAGTTGGCATATTTGGGTTGTATTTGTTATCACTCACTCTGTTACGAATTACCTCAAAACACAGCAGCTTAAAACAGCAAATGTTCATTATCTCATAGTTTCTGTGGGCCAGGAATCCAGGAGCAGCTAGCTGGGCAGTTCTAGCTTGGAGTCTCTCGTGAGGTGGTATTGTCTGAAGGCTCGACTGCAGCTGGAGGCTCCACTTCCAACATGGTGCACCCACGTGACTGGTGGGAGGAAGCCTCAGTTCCTTGCTGACTATTGGCAAGAGACCTGAGTTTACCACCATGTGGACATCAACATTGGTCTCGATGACCTAGTCTTGGAAGTCACATACCATCTTTTCTGTTATATTCTATATGTTAGAAGGGAGTCACCAGCCCTAGCCTCAAGAGTAAGGGAAATAAACTTCACCTCTTGAAGAGAAGAGGAGCAAGGAATTTGTGGACATGTTATAAAGACCCTTATGTGGGGAAAGGGTTGTAATGAAGAATGCTGGGGCAGGGCTTGGGGTGGGAGAGCAGGCAGGAGATGGGGCCAGAAGGATGCCCAGAGGCCGGTGGCCATGCATGCTAAGGAGCTGTAGGCATGCATCCTGTGGTCCTGTAGGCAGTGGGAAGCCACCGAAGGGCTCTGAGCTGGGGTGTATGGAGACCTGGGTTTCAGACAGAGCACTTGGTGGCAGGGCAGAAGGTACGTAAGTCAACAGGCACATCCAGCATGGGTGATTAATGCCGTGGCAGAGGCAAGACAAGGGCCTCAGGAGCCAAGAAGAGAGAACAACCCAGGGCTGGGCATGGGGGTCCAGCAAGGGCAAAGGAAGGCAGCCAGACAGAGGGAGGCAGCTAAGAATGCAGGAGGTGGTGTGCCAGGGCAGGCCGGGCTCTCAGATGGGGCGGGTGTGCAGCTGGAGAGGAGCCTCTTTGCATTCCCAGTGCTCAATTCCCTCTGCCCGAAAGGTCCTTCCCCAGCTTTCAAAGCAGCCACTCCTCCTCCTCATTCACGTGTGCCTCGGAGGCCTCTGACTAGTTTTAAGCACACATACTATCTGTCTCACATCATTCTTTTTTGTGGTTTTCAAGACTGGCTTTGCTAACATTTCTTTTGTCTGCCTCACTCTTCGTTCCCTAAGACTCCAGGGACATGGTGTTCCCAGGGTCTACAGCAGTGGAATGTGCAGAGTGGATGATCAGTATTTCTTTATAATGAATGAGTGAATGTAGCTAATTCTGAGGAACTCTGGGAGGCCCTCCCATGCTTCCCGTAGGGCTATCTCTGGCCCCTGTTCTGCCCACCCAACATCTGTGTCTCTCTCTCTCTCTCTCTGTCTCTCTCTCTCTCTCTCTCTCTCTCTCTCACACACACACACACACACACACACACACACACACACGTACATGTACTTTGCCTTCTCCCTACACCCACCCTACCATAGCCCTTCCTTTTGGGGCTGCATTCCCCTACCTCAACACCCCCAGGAATTCATGTTAGGAAAGCAAATGGTGGCCTCTTCTCACAAAGCATGTCCTGTGGGAGAGCTTTCTGACACCAAGGCCTGTCTGTGCCCAGCAGGGTGGCCAGTCCACCCCATGGCAAGCACAGTTATCACAAGGGGCGTGTTCTGTACTGGCCCTGCTGACTGTAGGGACCGTGCCTAAGGGCAGATAGAGCCTTCTTCACTGGTTGTGGCTCACGCCTCTACCCTGAGGATACCCATCCCTGCCCACCCTGCCCTCACCTCCAAAATTTCCTATCAGGATCACCCCTCCACACATTCCAGCTCCTCCCAGCTTTTAGCCAGCCTGCTGCTAACCTCAGACAGGTGTAGTAATTTCTGTGGGCGTCTCTTACCCCATCTGTAAAATGGAACTTGGGGTTCTTGCCTGTCTTCTCTCAGCCCTGAGCCCATGAGATCAGCCCATGCTGTGAAGTGGCCAGCACCATGTTCTGAGGCCTCCTGTTGCTGGCCCGGCAGTAGCAGTGTGTGCTGGCCACGGGGACCTGAGCAGAACAGGGCCTTGAGATGCCTCACAAGCGTCCGCCTGGGTGGGCACAGTTTCCTGGTCCAGCTGTGAAAAGCATGGGCTTCAGGTAAGGGTACTACTCCTAGATGGGGGTTGCTACCCCAGCTGGAGAGCGTTCTTTCTCTCCAGATTTGCAGTGTTCCGGAAGAGCTCTCACTTTTGGTAACGGCTGCCCAGCAGAGGACAGCAGGCAGCATTCAGCTGTGGGTGGCTTGGCTTCTGTAACAGGGTGAACCAAAAGAATAAACAGGATCCCTACCCCTTCTTTTTTTAAAACTTTTATTGAATCGTAGTATATATACAGGAAATCGCACATAAAAGTGTGTATAACTTGATAAATTTTCACAAACTGAACGTGTAAGCAGCCCCTGCATCTGGAAACAGAATATGACCATACCTCAGACCTCCCACCTTCCAGGCGGCCACTTGCCTGACCTCTCGCAGCATAGACCAGTCTTTTCTGTTCCTGAACTTCATCCATTGTGCTCTGTTGCCTCTGCTGTGTTTGTGAGGGTCACACACGTTGTTGCCTGTGAGTCTAGGTCTTTCGTTGCCATTGCGGTGCCCAGTCCTGTTGTGTGAACACACTGCCATTTATTTATCCCTCCCACTGTTGATGGGCACTTGGTGTTTGCAGTTTGGGGCTACTATGAAAATGCTGCTATGAGCATCATTTTTGACTTGACTTTTGTTGAGTACATTTATTCCTCTTTATTAGGAAGATGTTAAGTTGAATATATGAAAGTGCCGTCTTTGTTGGTCAAAAATGGTCAAATATTAGCCATCTCACATGTATCCACCTCTTACCGAGATGTGTGGTTGCTGCGTGGTGGGGAGTAGGTTCCCCTGGGCTCTTCAGTGTTCTTGCCCACCAGTACACAAGAGGGTTAGCTGCTTCTTGTCCTCACTCACACACGCTGTTTTCAGTCTTCTCATTAGAGCATGGAGTAGTATTGCATTGGGTCAACCTTTTTTAACCCCTTTGAGAAAGAAAGTACTTTTATTTGCATGGTGAATATACTTTAGAAAAACCTTAAAGCTTCCCCAGAGAGTCTGATGATTCCCCTGGGAGAGAAAGTGCTGCTCTCACCATGAGACAAGAATGGTGTTGGAGGAGACAAGTCACTGGCTGCCTTTCCAACCTGTGAGAAGGTAGCAGCTCTCATATCAATGCCGGTAGGCTGAGAGGAGGCTCAGCTAAGTGTGGGGTGCCAGAGCAGTAACAGACTCCTCGTCACCATCGTGGTATCAGGATGCTTCTTGGTCCTCTTCAGAGAAATGGGGCAGGGTCAGTCCTGACGCTTCCCTTAGGAAGCCGGCAGTTTAACTGGGGAAATGAAGATTTGCAGATGACAGAGGACAAGGGCCCAGCTGGGAAGGACTTAAACTGGCTTTTGTCTGCTTGTGGCTGGCGGGTGGAGTGGGGTTCAGCCTTAACCTTTCCATTCTGGAAAATTAGATCGAATGTGTTAGCGCTTGAAAAGCTTTCGAGGTAAAGGAGCCTTGCAGATATGCACCCCTAATCCCTCCTGCCTATGAGGCGTGGTTCGGGCTCCTGGCAGAGGTAGAACCTGTGGCTGATTACCAGCTGCTGGCCAGAGCCCACTGCCCCTTTGGTTGCCCTGAGGATGGTAGAAGCAGAGCTGCAGCCAGGCTGAGGGGAAAGGGGAGGTCGGGCTCCACACTAGCTTTTCCAAAGTCCCCTGTGCCTATAGGGAACCAGGTGATAGAGCTTGTCCGTGCTCATCTGCCTGCCCCAGCCCACCTTCTCTCCAATTCCCTTTTAGAGTGCCAATCGCAGGCATGGTCGGCCTACGCAGTGGCACGTTTGCCATCACTAGCACCCTGGCCAACTGCAAAGAGAATCCGGCTGATGCCTACCTCTCTTCCCCCACTGCACTCCTTCTCTTCCTGCATGGGGCTTTCTGTCTTCTGGCTGCCCTCCAGCCATCCGTAGCCACCCCATCCCCCTCAACCCTCCAAAAGGCAGACACAGCCGTGTGGTTCTGGGACTTTTTCCCAACAGGTGTGAGGGCTCAGTCGGCTTACCCGCACCACAGGATCTGCCTTTCTGGATGGAGCTGGGCTCCCTGGGAGGATGGAGGAAAGACACATTGAGAGTGGCGCAGCCTGGTTAGTAGCTTGCTGACACTCACTCGTACCTGTAGGGGTAACAAAGGCCTTGCTTCCGGCAGCTTTCAGCTTCACCCCTACATTTTCACCTCGTGCCTTGGCCGGTCTTTTGGCTTTTGTTCCTTTTGTTTGTTCACATTAAATCCCATTTGCTGAGAAGACAAAAAGGATGCTCCCACTCTACATCATCCCTGAGACTTTCTCTTGAAATTGTTTTCAGGAGCAGAAATGGTGTCATCCTGGCAGAGTCACCTCAGTGTGGCCATGCTTCCCCAGCCTCCCTCCCCATGCCCCAGCAATCGTCTAAAAATACTCTCTTTCCACTGAAGGTTTTTCTTTCCACTGAAGAAATGAGCTGATGGGGCTGGGGATGGGAGTGGTGGCAGGAGAAGCTGGAGGTGTTGTGTTCTTTGAAGGCATCGGAGTCTGGTAGCTGGGCTGTGGCCAGACTCTGTGTGGACAGCAACTCCCTAGGGACCCTGACACTGGGAGTAGGAAGTCTGGTCTGGGGCATCAGCAGGAGCTGACCAAAGCTCCCTTCTATCCAAAGGCATCCCAGAGCCCATCGTTTAAATCAGCAATGGTTTATTGATATGAAATTTGATGATTCAAAGCTTTGCCAAAACTTTGAGGGATACAGAAATGAATAGGATATGGTTTGTGTTTGTGTCTGGTTTTAGTCTGGGGTTTTGCATACAGTCCAAAGAAATGAAGGAGATCTGAATTGATCTCTTTCGGTTTTTTTTCCTCATTAGACCTTCCTCTGCGTCTTCTAAGCCCTAATCTTGTAGCCACAGGCAGGAAAAGAAGGCTTCCCGTGAGCTGGCCACTTGGCCATTAACCAGCTAGCTCCTGTGTAGCCCTCAGAGTGTGCCCACACCACTGCATCACTGCTTTCTAAAAAGGCAGCTTTAGGGGAGGGCAGCCTGCCCAACTCTCTCTGCTGATTCCAGGCTTCAGGTTAAGGACTCCAAGAGTGGCCAGACCTCCCGAGGGCTGCTACATCTCCCCTAGCGAGCATCCTCACCTGGGTCAGCCTTCCATCTCCCCTAGGGAGCATCCTCACCTGGGTCAGGCTTCCAGCACCCTCCTTTATCACTGCCACTTCAGTCTGTTGACAGGCTAAGTGGCCATCTTTCCTCTGTTCTCTGAAGTAGGAAAATAAGGATGCTTAGTAACCATGAGGACTGAATCCAGTTTAACCTGACAAATGTTGACTGACTGTCTTCTCTGGACAAGGGTGAGACTCAGTGTCTGCCTTCAAAAGTTGTCTAGGCCGGGTGTAGTTGGCTCATGTCTGCAATCCCAGCACTTTGGGAGGCCAAGGCTGGCAAATCTCTTGAGTCCAGAAGTTCAAGACCAGCCTAGGCCACATGGCAAAACCTCATCTCTACAAAAAATACAAAAATTAGCCAGGCATGGTGGTGCATGGCCATAGTCCCAGCTACTCTGGAAGCTAAAGTGCAAGGATTGCTTGATCCTGGGAGGCGGAGGTGAGCCGAGATTTTGCCACCATTGCACTTCAGCCTAGGTGACAGAGCAAGACCCTGTCCCCCCACCACAAAAGGGGGTGTGTGGCCTGGTGTAGAGGGAGACAGGAGCCTAATTATTGAGGCATGTCCCAAGAAGATGCTAGGGACACATGGCATTAAGTGTCTCCCATCTCTACACTTTCACATATGAATGGGAGACACCCTGAGATGGGAGACACCCAGAGCTGCGTTTCTTGAGAGGCCCCTCACACCCTGTTTTTTCCTCTGTTGGCATCGGAATCCTAGTCAATAGAGATTGCTGTCATGAATATCTGCTCTGTTAGCAGCCATCTCACCCAGTCTGCACAGAGGTCCCAGACAGGGGTTGGAATTGTGGCAGGTGGGAAGCGGGTGCGTTAGCCAAGACTACTTGATTGCAAATAACAGATGCCAACTCCAGCTTGCCTAGGCAAAGAGAAAATTTGTCATGACAGGACAGGGCCTGGGAAGTCCAGAAGTCCAGGTCACCCAGGCCTGGGAAGGGACAGAAAAGATCAGGAAGGCCTTCCAAATCCTCTCCTGTACATCTGCACCTCCGAGCACACTAGCTGTTCCTTCTGGAGAACACAGGCTGTCTCCGCTTCCAGTCCTGGGCTGGCACATGGCCCTGGAGTTAGAGAAGACAGTTCTGCCTACCCTGTGAGGACAACCCAGCTCCTAGTGCTGCTGAGTTCCTGGAAGGAGGAGCATCACATTGGCCCAGAGTGGGTATGCATTTCCCTCACCCTCCACTCTGTCTCCGTGAACATGGAAGCAGAGTGCCTTAGAAAGGGGACCCCAAGAAGTATCCTCCAACTGGAGAGAACAGCCATGGTTCCTTCATCTTCATTCCTGTTATCTCCAATTTGGCTTGGGTAGAGAGCTAGATGAATTGAAAGCAGTCCCTGGAGCTGTCTTTATTCCATGTACAGAGGCATGAAGTGGCACCAGGAAGAACTGCCATGCGTTTTTTTCCTCAGCCTCCCACACTGGTCTGTGAAACCGGTTTTTAAGCCCTAAAGTCAACACCCTAAACTAAAATGCTAGGGCATTTTGAGGTTTGAGTCACAGGACTTAGCTGGATTTTGAACCAGGTGGAGGCAGCCAAGGCAGCTGGTGGGGGCGGGGCTGGAGGCACTCCCTGGGGGCAACCTACTCTCCAGCTGGGCCTTCCAGACAGTGCTCTATGAGGCACCTTCTTTGGCCGTCCTCAGAATCTAGAAGGAAGTGTTGGCCAAGAGGGGCTGTCCTGATCCAGTAGCTTTAAATCCCTGAGCATGCAAATTAAATAAGTGTGTCAGGGAAAGCCAGGCTAACAGTACTGTTCCGTAAGTGAGACACCTCGGTCATAATTAAGAAGGGTTTTTGGAAACTGACCTTTTAACTTTGAATGGGTCTGTTGTTTAGAGATAGAGTTTCTGTGGCTGCCTCGGGATTGGTTGTAACTCATTGCTGGAGTAAGGAGGCAGTTAAATGCTGCGACAATGACAGACTTGGCAACAGAGTCATGGACACAGGAGACTCTGCCTCCTCCTCTGGGTACGTATGGTGAATGGACAGCATGGAAAGGGCCATTTCTAGGGAGCCCTTTGGATATTCTTTTTTTGATACAGCCTGAGACTTTCAAAGAACAGATTTTAAAAAAAATGTTTAACTTTTCATGAGTCAACAGAAATGATAATCTACTTGAATTTTTGTTCTTTCCTTTCTGTGGTGTGTTTTCACTGAAGGGAATCTAGTGATTGTGATTTTCATTGGATTTTTCGATTGGGCACACATGTGCCGACATTTTCGGCCGCAGACATCATGGAAGAAGCTTGGGTCTGGAAGTGGAACCCCCTGGGGTGAGCTCCCCAGTCTGGCCTGGGTCTGGCTCCCAGCGGGCTCTTCTTCCCTTGAGCCACAGTCATCTCCCCGACCCGCAGCAGCACGAGACAGAGCTAGGCTAGGCAAGCTCGGCATTAGTTGTCTCTGATCTGAGGAAACCTGTAGTTAGCCTTTATTTCATGTCACACATCAATTTCTCCTTTCCTTTCTGCTCAATTTGTCCCCAGTTCCCAACTCCACCAGTAGAAGCTCTCAGGGCAGAGGTGTTCCTGCACAGAGGGCAGGCATCCTACTGAGGGGACAAGGCTGCACTTTCCACTCCCTGCAGCTAAACAGCCCCAGCAATTGATTTCCTTGCCATTAGGGAAATGCCTGCTTTTTAGGATGCACCACAGTGCATAGGTGTTATTTCTCGGTCTCTTCTCCAAGGAAATACATGCTAAATTAAGTTTTGTGTTTTTGTTCACGCTTAGCAGCACCACTGAAAGCCAGGGTTTCACCAGCTGTGTCATGGCAGCAGTTGCAGGAGGAGAGGAACAGAATAGGTTGAGCCAGTGCAATTTGCATTTGCAAGTAGGAGGGCATTGGTCTCAGGGAGAGGACGTGGGCCACTTTGGATTTTCAGGTACCATGGCAGCTCTTGAGAAATGCTTCCTAACATGCCTTCTATTCTCCCAGGCATGGGCTGATGCCTTTCGAAGTAGTCCTGACCTCACCGGTGTTGTGCACATATACGAGGAGCTGAAGAGGAAAGGGGTTGAATTTCCCATGGCAGACTTGGATGCTCTGTCTCCCATACACACACCACAGCGGGTAAGCTTCCAGCTGGTGCTTTCTAGAAAGACCTACTGCAGAACGGGTGAGCCAAGCTGCTGCAACCACCCTTCTGCTGCTGCCTTTGAATTATTCAGCCTGTCATCATGCTTTCTTAAAGCTCGGGGGCATTCCTTTTTAATAACAAGGGGCATGCAGGAGTGAGACAGCTGGTTGACTGGTGATTAAGTGGCAGCAGTGTCTGTGGAAGGATATAATAGAGGGATCAGTTCAGAGTTTTCATGGAAATGGCTACTTGGGCGGGGCCATCCTGTGACGGTCATTAGCACCTGCTTTTCAGAGGCCCCTAAAATCTGGCATGGGAATCCTGTTGTCCCTCAGAGCACCATAGCACCTCAGAGCATACAGAGAGCTTGACGTCACTCTTGGGGCAAAAAGGAGCTTTCTATTTTTTTCAATTGTACCAAGTCAAATGGATCTAAAATTTATTTTGAGCTATGAGCATTCAGCATCAATCCAGACATCCTTGCATTCCACCAGCCTTAGGATCAAAGCCCTGGGAAGGTCCCTTTAGGGGCATCCCACCAAAGCTTTTGCCGTGCCAACAGCTTTGAGCACCATGGAGGGGCCAGCTCAGCACATCAGGGTTAAAAGCATGTAGGCCGTGCCACTCATGGCTTCGCATGGAAGCCAGTCCCTCTACTGGCTGGGAATCAGCTTCGCTCCTAGCCTGGGGAAGAGCCAGGAAAGCACCAGGGTCTGGGAGAGGCACTTCATCCCAGTACACGTCACCTTGCCTGACCCCATTGCCCATCTCTGAGAAGAATAGCACACCTATGCACGTCTCTTGTAGGAACACGACTTAATATGCAAGAGGTCATCTGAGATGCCCAAAGGGCAAGCATGAGGGACTGCCCTTTCCAGAGCCTGTTCTCATCATGATCCCTCCAGACCATGCACTGTGCTTTGTGAAATCAACATAACCTGTTTCACTCTTCTAATAATGACAGAGAGCAGTGTTGTTCCTATAATTACGAAAACATTTGGTAAATTGCATAATTACTATTTATATTAGTCTCCTTGTAAAGGCTGAAAAAGTAGTTCTTATGGTACCAAGTAAAGATTTGTGATTAGCAAAACTGAATAACCGCCCTCCCTTCACTCCATCCTGAGGTGGTCTTAATGATAGGAACCATTACCAGAGGGCTCACAGAGCACTCTTGGTGCTGCCTTTTGGAATTGCTTTCTTTTTTTTTTTTTTTTTTTTTTGAGACAGAGTCTCGCTCTGTTGCCCAGGCTGGAGTGCAGTGGCCTGATCTCGGCTCACTGCAACTTCTGCTTCCTGGGTTCAAGTGATTCTCCTGCCTCAGCCTCCCGAGTAGCTGGGATTACAGGCATGTGCCACTATGCTAATTTTTGTATTTTTAGTAGAGACAGAGTTTCACCATTTTTGTCAGGCTGGTCTTAAACTCCTGACCTTGTGATCCACCCACCTCAGCCTCTCAAAGTGCTGGGATTACAGGCATGAGCCACCACGCCTGACTGGAGTTGCTTTCATTGTCTGCTACACACTCCTTGAGAGGTAAGTAGAGGGAGGAGCCAGTGGCAGCCCTACTTCCTAGACGGAGAGCCTGGGCTCAGCGGGGCTCCATGAGCCTCACCCAGGCAGCAGTGAAGCAGAGCCTTGAGCCTTCCGCAGGCAGCTCTGGAGAAGTGCCGCATGGGGTGGGGTAGGTACCAGGCCCAGCTGTGCAGGCAGCCCAAAACAGAGGACTTTGTTGTTGTCGTGCCAGAGCGTCCCAGAAGTGGATCCAGCCGCGACCATGCCCAGGTCCCAGTCACAGCAGAAGACAAGTGCTGGTTCCTATTCCTCGCCACCTCCTGCTCCCTACTCCGCACCACAGGCCCCGGCTCTGAGTGTGACTGGCCCCATCACAGCCAATTCAGAACAGGTACTTGCATACTTTGGGGCCATAGGCAAGCCAGCTGACTATTCTTATTCATCTTTCCAAGAGACACTTACAAAGGCCCCCCAAGCCAGGCATTGTGCTGGGTGTCGGGGACACAGAGATGGAAGGGCTTAGTCCCCAGGGGAGACAGATGCTGAGGCCATCATGATGGAGTGTGTTCAGGCCTGAATGTTGTTGGTGGGGAGCAGAACCAAGGGGGCTCCGAGTTTTGAGCCTAGGGTTGAGTGGTGCCTGGGAGGCACCGGGGACCTGACACGCAGAGGGTCCTGACACAGGAGTGGGGCTTTGTCAGGTGAGACCACATGCTCAGCAGTGACATTGCAAGGCAGAGGTGCAGAGGCGCAGGGCTCTCTCGGAGCAGCAGGTGGCTTGATTGGAGAGCAAGCGCATATGTAGGGCCCAGATCTGGGAGGAAACCGTGGCAGAAAGTGAGGCCAAAAGCATAGTAGTACAGCAGAGCTGTGACGGGCTTGTCTGTCACACAGAGGCTTAGATCTGTCCTGTAAAAAATGTCAGCCATCAGAGGCCTATGACCTGATCAGGGAGGCCCTCCTGAAGCACAAGAAGCCTGCTTTTATCCCAAACGCTCCTATCTTCTTGGGTTACTTCCTGATAAGCTAATGCAGTTTTAACCCCACGCTGGATTTTTTAGATGAATTGGGGAGTGCTCTTTAGAAGAATCCATAGAATTTCAATTAGTTACAATTTGAGAATTGGTCAGACTTGGGAAAGAAAAACAACTCTCCAATGTTTATATTTAATAATCCTCATTTACTATTTGCGACAATGTCATGACTATGGAACCACATTGAGGCTGACGGGTCAAGCACTGTGTGTGCAGGGATGGCAGTGCTGTGTCGCGTTCCTCTCGCTTCCCTGCTGGCTCTGAGCAGGGAGTATGGTGAAAGTAGGAGTGAACTTGAAGCCCCCAGAGCCTGATGTGAGCCCCCGCTCTGCCGCTCAATGTAGGCTTCCGTCAGGACATTTAACTCAGCCTCCCATCAGTACAACGGGTGATCTGTTACCTCACCAGGCAGCTAGGGGCTTGACAGGCAGATGGAAGAGGTCCTTATGGTAGCCATCCAAGTGCTGTGGGGAGGAAGGTCTCTGGCTGTTAGCCCTGCTCCTATGGGCAGAACTTTGCCCTTTCTGCTCTGAGGGAAGGCAGAAAATGTTTGAAGTTGGACAGTTCCTGAGCCCCTTCACTGACTCACAGTATGGGAGGTGCTGGGGAAGGCCCTCCTAGTAGCCAGAATATGCTGGGTCTGGAGGTTCTGGACGCAGGTAGCGCAGGAGCCCTGAGGCCTGTTGCCCCTGGGGGAGCAGAATGAAGCAGAGATAGGCAGCTCATCACCCAGCCCAGCCAAGAGGACCCAGGGCTTCAGAGCCCACGAGGTGGCTACCTATAACCTTCCTGGGCCTTCCTAGCCAGAAGCCTCTTTTACCAAGACTTTGAAGAAAACCCCTGGATCATCCACCAGGCAGAGCCAGAGGCTGACAAGAGCCTCTCGGGACACAGACCGTCTCCCTAATTGACCACTGATTGAGGTCTCCTGTCCCTGTCTCTGTGCTGAGGGTATAAAGCTCAACCCAGCTGAGTTCCTGCCTTAAGGAGCTAAGGGTCTGCTAAGAGAGCCCACCCCTACAGCAGAGGCTGCTACAGCTGCAATAGTGGAAGGCAGCACAGTGAGTGGGACCCTGGAGGAGGAGGTGGGAGCGGTTGCTTCTACCTCAGGATGGGGCGGGAAGAGTCAGAAAAGGCTTCACTGAGGAGAGGAGCTGTCACTTGGGCTGGGTCACAGTGCAGGAAGAACAACATTGCAGTTCCTCTCTGTGGACATTTGAGCAGGAACAAGGGCCGTATGTGTGTAGAGTGCGTACCTGCATGCCGGGTGCCACATGGGAACCTCACAGCAGCCTGGCGAGGCGTGGTGTTAGTGCCACCTTTCTGTAGGTGAGGAAGCTAAGGCTCAGAGAGGCTCAGGTCTGGCTCTGGACGTTGCTGCTGAGTCTCCCAGGGCTCCCTCCAGTGTCCTGTGCAGTTCTTGACTTCTGTCCAGCGTGAATTAGTCTCTTGTCACTGAGCGATGGGACCAATAGGCGCTTCTATGCAGATTCTTCTATGATACCTCACTGTGAGCAAGGAAGGACCCTGTGGTCTCTGCAGATGCTTCAAGGGGCTTGAGGGAGCGAAGGGGCAAGGGGAGAAAGTATACGATGTCTGTTGCTGGAGAGGAGCCTCAGGCCTTGGCCCGAGTCCAGGCTTTGGGAGCACTGATGGATGGGCAGCGTGGGTATTTTTTAAGGGGCTGTGGTACCAAGTAGGGAGGTGGGTGTGGAAGGTATCTCCCCTGTGGTCTTCTGTTCTTCTCTCATTCTTGCCACTGCAGAAAGGTGCTGCTGACACTGCCCAACCTCTCAGAGGACTGTAGTGTTTAGATGTGAAATTCCTTGGGGCAGAGTCTGTAACTCAGAGCTTCGTAGAATAGGATCTCAACTCTGAAGGGATCTCACGACTCCTGCCCTCCTGAACTTGGATTTTAAAGAGCAGGAATGGAGGCCCTGAGAGGTTCAGCTTCTACTCAAGTTCCCGTGGTGGGAGAGCGCAGACAGAGAGCCAGCTTGGTGCACTCTGACACGGAGCTGTTCGCTACATGGTACTGCTTTCGTGTCGCAGTCAGAGAGGCACCACAACAGAGTGTTGGGTGGCAGGACCCATTCCTCTCAGAGCTGACAGGCAGGCCGGAGGGAGATGAGAAGGTGGCCTCTGCAGTGTGCACTCAGAAGGGTGACCCAGATCTCCCAGTGAGAGGGATTGTCGCTAGCCTAGGGACAAGCTGATTCTGATATTGCAGGTGCAGGCTGACTCTGAGTGACCTTTCCTTCCTCGTGGCCCTCACCAGATTGCCAGGCTGCGGAGTGAACTGGACGTCGTTCGCGGAAACACAAAAGTCATGTCTGAGATGTTAACAGAAATGGTCCCTGGACAGGAGGATTCATCTGATCTGGAGCTGCTGCAGGTGAGTCATCTTGCAGAAACACTTGGCCTGAGCGTGGAGCAGGGGCCTGCTGTGGTGGCTCCACCACTGTACACTGTCGCAGGATCCCACCCAGGGACACAGCGGCGAGGTGGGACGGGTCCATTGGCCCTGTTGTTGATAGTCCATGTGAGCGCACACTCAGACTGACGTTGTCGTGGACAGGCAGAGGCCAGGGCCACTGTCTCTCTTTTTTACTTTCCTTAATAACATTTTTTTCCTGATTATAAAGTGCCAGTTGTAGAAGACATGCCCACAGAAAGAAAAAGAAAGTACAGTGAAGAACATAATAACTTTCTTTGACCCAAGCATCCATAAATAACCACTGTAGGTGTTTTGATGTATTTTCCTTCTGACTTTTTGTATGTTTATTTTAAATGTAGCTGGGCTTGTGCTGTTTTGTATTTTGGTCCCTCAGCATCACGTCTGCAGGAGGGCCTATTCAACCTTGACTGTGCATAGGAGCCCTTCTAGTGGCACCTGACCCCAAGGTGTCCTGAGACAGATGAAGTGTGATGCTCCTCTTCTTTCCCTAACATGGGGGATTCCCAGGCTGGGTGTTTCTGATATTGTGGTTTGCCATTGCAAACTGGCCTCCCCACCTCTGGACACCCCACGGATCTGGGGGCATGGCAGAAAGGGGTCCAGGAGCGGGCAGCCTGCAGTCTACCCCTGAGACCAAGGTCAAGGCCTCCATCGCAGGCCTGTTTTCCAGGGCAGCCATGTCCAGAGCCAGTGCTCAGATCTCCACCACACCCAGCCTCAGATGATCCTCGAATTTGCAGAAAATGTCAGTGGTACTGCCCTGAGAAGTAGTGACCTTCCGGAGGGTGGAAAAAGGATGCTGTGAACTGTAAGGGCCCCTACACTTTTCAACGGGAGGCAAGATGCTTGAGGGAGCAGGTCAGGAGCCAGACTGACTTGGCGACCTGGCACGAGTGTCTCATGATGCACCTGCTGCTGCTCCTGCTGCTGTTGCTGACACTGTCATTTTCCGGCCCTCAGTTGTTGGTCTTGGTCCCCAAGTGCTGCACCTTGTACCCTGCTGCTGGCACATGCTTCCCGCCTGTGAAGGCCCTGTCCTGGCCCCAAGCTGCTGCTTATTGTGCCGCCTTCCTACTCCAAAGCCATTAGCTCTTATGGAGGTGAGGCGGGGGGAAGAGCTGTTCCAGGCCTAATACAGAGCACAGTGCTTTGGGCACAGAGGTGCATGAGCTGTGGTCCCTGCTCTGGAGGAGCTTGTGGCTTTTTGCAGGAAACAGACTGGGAAATAACTTGTCTCTATGTAACTACACCAGCCTGCTCTTGAAGCTGGACAAGTACCCTTGGCCCAGCCCCAGTGAGGAGCCCTGACTGGCCTCTCCCTAGTTCCCAGACCTCACTCCTGACACACCTGCATCAGACCAGGCTTGCCTGAGCTCAGCAGGTTCAGCTGAATATGTGCCACACTCCAGGGGACCTGGCTTCCCTTGAATGCATTGTCATTGGCCTCCATTCCCAGCCTGCAGGAAGGTTCTGCCAGGCGTTACCCAGATGTACAGGATTCCGAGGTCAGTCCAGAAACTGAGAGGGCCTCTTGAGGCAGCTTTGTGCTGTGTCAGCGTCGGAATTCCTGCTGACACAGGGGATTTGCTCTGGATAGAGCCCCGCTCCTGGCAGCAGGGGGGTATGTTAAACAAAGCCAAGATACTTCCAGACAGTTAGAGCAGACCCAGACAGCAGGAATACTTCTTGTGTTGAGGGGAGAAGGGGGTTTGGGTTTTTTTTTTTTTCTTTTTTTTTTTTTAAACAAGCCCATCAGCCAAGACAAACAGAACCTAATCTCCTGGCGTCAGCTCACAGTTTTCAAAAATAGGTTGCTTCCCATGACGTTTTCTTTCCCTCTGTTTTGTTCCAACTCCAAGCCTCCCAGCCCTCACTGCTATCTTATAAATCAAACAGAAAAAGAATGACTCTAGGTGCCAGTGGGAGGCTGTCCTTCTAGCATAGGAGATTCAGGAGCTGGGCAGCACTGTGAACAACTGTGAATAGACACAGCCCTCCTGGCCGGTTGGCTGCACACCTCTGCCATCCCTGACATCTTCCCTCCCCTTCTTCCCCTGGCAGTCAGAAGCCAGCAGGCAGGGTCTCCCAAGGGTCAGAGCCACACTAAACCACCAGCCTTCCATGTGGAGAAATACCATCGTCTGCTTGGAAAGTGCTGGGATCAGAATGTGTCCCCAGGACCCTCCATCAAGCTGGAGAGCAGCCAGAGTGCTTGGGGCAGAGAAGTGCAGAGCTGAGAGTGCTGGCTGGGCCATAGAAACGAACAACCCAGATGTTCCCACCAATAGAAGCTGCTCCCAGTTCAAGTATAAATTGCTGGGGTAGGAGGTGGAGGGAATAGGAAGAGAGGTAATTGGTGGTGTCAGCCCCAGGATGATCATAACTGTGGGAAGGTTATGTCCCAGTTGCCTCCTGCGCATTGCAAAGCACTCTTGGGTATAGCTTCCCACCGTGCAGCAAGAGCAGCAGGGAAACTTGGCAGTGTGAGCTATATGCCTGCGGGCTCATGGCATGTGGCTGGTATTTGAGGAGAGGCTGAGGCCACTCTAGCACCCTGTGCTGTCAGTGTAGCTGGAGCCCCTGAGGAGAAGGAAGGCAGGGTGCCCAGAGTGAACACAGCTACTCCTCCTCTTGAGCTATGTGTCAAAACCTCCACTCTCTGAGTTGGGAGAGAGATTCCAGGAAGCTGGCTCAGCTCTACACCTGTGTTCAGACATCTTCCACAGCATCTTGTCTACTGGGTCTTTCTGCACGTCCCCAGTGACAGACTGTTCGCAGCAGCCCACTTGCTTTCAAATGGACGTCTTGGTTAGACTTCAGGCAGCAGCACGGCAGGCTTACAAATTACACAGACCTGTGAATTAATGCCTTCCCATCCTTGTCCTCCCACTGATAGCTGGGTGATGCCAGGCAAGTCACCAGCCCTCTCCAGGCCCCCTTCTCCTCTCTAGATTGGAGTAATCACTTGCACCTGGGCAGTGCCTGGCGCAGGGCTGGGCTTAGGGAAGGCTTCACAAATCCTAGCTTTTATGACTATTGTTAGAAAGCCCTTTCACACATTGATCTAAAGTCTGGCTCCCTGTAACTTTGATCCTGGTCTGTCTTCTTAGACAATAGAACAAGGCTAATTCTTCTTTCACATGGATAGATCCTTAAGCATTTGAAGATTGCCATAAGCCCCACCCACTGCCCAGTCTCCACATGGAACAAATGTGGCAGGTGGCAGCCCACCATGGAGAGGGACAGGCAGTTCTTCACAGGAGGCAGACATTGTAAGATGGAGAGCTTTCATCAGCTGAAAACCCTGCCATGTCACCTTCTAGTGTGGTAGTTAAGCCTATCTTCATCATCCTATGCAAGGACCCTTAGGCCTGGGCGGAAATTCAAATGCTGCATCTGTCCCTGCTAAAGTGTGGGATCTTTAAAGATTGTGATTCTGTCAACCAGTGCCCTCCGTCTCTCCCAATTTAGCCTTTTGAGCCTTGTCTTCAATGAATAACTTTTAATTAATACAATGATGCCAAAAATATATATTCTTCTGTGGCCATTCATCAGCATCAGATAATAACAGAGGCCTCCTCCTCGTTTCTCCAAGTAGCAGATGGCGTATCTCCTCTTGCTTCTTGCATCTCATTTCAACAAAAACAGAATGGCCAAGGCCATTTTCTCTAGAGAAATCTAGTCTATTCTACGTGTTTAGCTTCATTATTCCCCTTTCTCATCAACAAAGACTTTCTTCTCTCTCCCGTCTTTGCAGCAACAGAAAACAGATCTTCAGGACCTTATTCCATGTTCCTTCAAGCTTGTGGAGGGCTCAGAGGAAACCCATAAAGATGATTAAAAGACTGTTGTGTGAGGTAGGGATGAGAATGTCCCTTGAAGAAAAGATAAAGGCATTGAGATTAATTAGGGAGAAAAGAGAGGATATTTCCTAAGGTGTTCTGATAGATGGAGGGCTTTTGTGCAAGTGACCAGCTGTTCTTCCCTCTTTTAAGGACCAGAAATAGGAGAAGAGCAAAGCTGACGTTGTCAACATTTAGGAATCTCCTGTCCTAGCTGTTACACATGGAAAGGGTGACCTGAGCAAGCAGTAGGCTCTCGGGTGTCTTCGGCCCAATGAGAATCACTCTGAGTGATTTGGAGGTGGAGGAAGCAGGAGAACATCTCCCAAATGAGCCTGCTGAGGGTCTGGCTGTGATGACACCACAGAGGCCATGCAGGGAGCCAGCTGGCACTGTGGCAGCAAAAATCTTAACATCTGGCCCTCCTCTCACCTTCTATCTCTTTTTCTTTTCTTTTTTTTTTTTTTTTTTTTTCTTTTTTTGAGAAGGAGTCTTGCTTTGTCACCCAGGCTGGAGCACAATGCCATGATCTCAGTTCACTGCAACCTCCACCTCCCAGGTTCAAGTGATTCTCCTGTCTCAGCCTCCCGAGTAACCGGGATTATAGGCACCTGCCATCATGTCTGGCTAATTTTTGTATTTTTGTAGAGGCAGGTTTCACCATGTTGGCCAGGCTGGTCTTGAATTCCTGACCTCAGGTGATCCATCTGCCTCAGCCTCCCAAAGTACTGAGATTACAGGTGCGAGCCACTGCACACAGTGTTTTCTTCCTTTTTGAGACAGATGTAAAAGACTGAAGCCAAGAGATGGTAAAGTTTTCTCTGTGCAGAGACACCTGGAAATCTCCATTGTGGAGGCCCCAGGCCATAGTCTCTGAGGCTGTCTTCAGCGGAGCTCTTTGGAAAGTCATCAGGATCTTCCTTGAGGATTGGAGCATGGAGGCCCTGCTGTTAGGTTGGGAGCTATCTAACCCACCACCCCAGTGGGGAGGCTGTGGGGAAAGAGGCAGCAAACACAAGGCCAGAGCAGATGTTCCTGGTGCTGACTGTTGATGAGATCACTGTTGATTAACCCCTTGGGGCTCATTCTTCCTTTAAGCCAAGGTCACAATGTTAGAGCCTCAGAAATCATCTAACACCTTCCAAAAATTTTTTTTAAAGTAATGGAGGCCAAGCACAGTGACTTACACCTGTAATCCCAGCACTTTGGGAGGCCAAGGCAGGTGGATCACTTGAGGTCAGGAGTTCGAGACTGGCCTGGCCAACATGGCAAAACCCCGTCTCTACTAAAAATATAAAAATTAGCTAGGCATGATGGTGGGTGCCTGTAATCCCAACTACTTTGGAGGCTGAGGCAGGAGAATCGCTTGAACCTGGGAGGTGGAGATTGCAGTGAGCTGAGATCACACCAATGCACTCCAGCCTAGGCGACAAAGCAAGGTTCCATCTCAATCAATCAATCAATAATGGAACGTTTTCCTCCACAAATAAAATTCTACAGTGAATGGCAGTGTTTAAAATTGAGAAAAGCAGAGCAGCCCCAGCTGCCTCAGCCCCGTGCCATGGAGGCCACTGCAGCACGTCAGTGGCCCTCTGCAGAAGTACCTTCTCACAAATGCAACCCCCTTATTTTACACAGGGAGAAGCAGTCCTGGAGAAGACTGGAGACTTGGAAAGTATATCCAATCACAGCTATTTGCTGCCTGCAGCTTGGTCCCCACACTAGGGCTCTGTTGGGGAGACTGATACCAACCCCTGCTCTCTTCTTTCAGGCCTCCGGTACTTGGAGTATTTGTAGCCATCTTCCTGAGACATTTCCTGCAGTCTACTGAGGAATCTGGTTTGGTTCTCCTCTGAATCCAGTGACCCACCCTTAAGGCTTACTCTTTGTTTTAAGGTTTCTGCTGTGTGGAGTGCAGGTGGGGGCTGGCCACCCCTTGCTGGAGGGTTTCTTAGAGGGGCTCTGATGACAGGCTAGAATGTGTTAAATGCTGTGGGAGTATTGAGAGTGGGGTGGAGGGGGATCCCCAGAAAACACTGTATGTGGACAGGAAGATGAATAAATGGGAAGTATGTGTTAAAGCTGCCACTGTAAAATGTTCATGGTGCAATCTAGGTGGTAAGCATATGGTGTCTGTCCACTGTAAAATTATTCCAAGTTTTCTGTATGTTTGAAAATTTTTATGACAAAATACTGGGGTAGGGAAACACCTTGAGGCCTTGAAGGATGAGTAGGAGTTTGTTCAATGGAAAAGGAAATAAGGGACATTGCAGGCAGAGGGTCAACTGCTTAGGAGCCCTTGAGCAGTGTGGCAAGTGCCTGAGGACACCTATATCCTGGAAAGTCTGAGGTGTGTTTGAAGACGGCCCATAGGCCTTAGGTGCTGATGCCCCAGTCTTCTGGAGGGTAACTTGGATCTGTTTCCACAGCATGCTCCCACACTCCCCTGGCTTGCAGGTCCTGTGCCTTGTGATTGGCCTGCAGCTTGGATGGGAAGTGCAAACTCTTTTCCTTCTCCCTCCCCAACCAAGGGCAGCCAGCACTTGCTGTGAGGCCGCAAGCCCCAGACAGAGGCCACACTTTCTTGAACTGGGCCTGTTTGCTGGAGGAGATAGGTCCTGAGCTGGGCCTCGAGATCCTTTTGCTCATCAGAGATTTTCCACAGACACCTGGAGTCCTGGAGCAAGGAGGAGCTCAGCAGCGCCTGGCTCCATCCTCGAGTGCAGGCATGTGTGCAGGCACGTGCGCATCCCTGGGGAGGAGACATGCACAGTGGCCCGGAACAGTCTGTGGCAGCACAGAGAGGCAGAAGTTTGACCTCTTTTCTCTGTCCTACTGCCCAGCCTCCATTTTCCATCATGCAGTCTTTGGCCAGGTCTCCCTCTGGTGCTTCTTCCAAAGTGCAAGGTAAATGTGCTGCCCAAGTGTTGGCCAAGTATCCTTTTTTCCTTTAGGAAGCAGGGGAGGATGGTCTGTTGAAGTTAACCTAAATCTGTGCTCCCTGTCAGCCCTGAACAGATGCTCACTGCGTTTTAACAATCTATTAGAAATACTGTGATTATTTTACATTGTTCACTTCAGTCCTGGCTGTTGGAATCCTTCGCATGATCCAATGTGATTGCTTCTTTCATAAGTTTGGACATTTTAATTTCGTTTTTGTTTGTTTTAATGTTAGGGGCCTGGCTTGGTTTTCAGCATCACTCCTAAGCATGCTTCATTTTGTAATGGGTGTTTCCCCTGCATTGTTGGTTTTCCTGTGTATGGTAATTGTCCCGGTGGTGACTGGGTTTTGACCTGTGAGTGTCCGTTGGCGCCTGTGGCCATTATTGCCTGGCAATCCAGACCAGATCTGGCAGGCTCCGAGGCCCCGGCAGCTTCGTGAGTGTCCCTCTCCTGCCTGGCCTGGGGACATGAGCCATTCACAACAGAAGACAGTGTGCATTTTGTGGAGTTTTCTCTTTACTGGATATTAGTGTCCTCTGGAATTAAGATCCAGTATTCTCCTATTATTATTGATTCTAGCACTTATCTGTATGATTCTAAGTGCTTACTGCTGGTTCAGTGGGGCCTGGAATGAGTCCTAGAGAGGGAAAATTAGAACGTGAATGAACGAGAATTCCCCATTCTCTGAGTGAAGACTGCTGAGAAGACTGAGCGTATGTGGATAACTGAGCTGGTGGTTTGGGGGGACCAAGAGTTCAGAATACTTTATTTTTATTTTTTGGAGACAGGGTCTCACTCTGTTGCCCAGGCTGGAGTGTAGTGGTGCGATCTTGGCTCACTGTAGCCTCCGCCTCCCAGGTTCAAGCAATTCTCCCACCTCAGCCTTCTAAGTAGCTGGGATTACAGGTGTACGCTACTGTTCCCAGATAATTTTTGTATTTTTTTGTAGAGATGGGGTTTCACCATGTTGGCCAGGCTGGTCTCAAACTCCTGACTTTAAAAGATCTGCCTGCTTCGGCCTCCCAAAGTGTGGGGATTAGGCATGAGCCACTGCACCCAGCCTCAGAATACTTTAGAGTCATTAGTTAATTCTCTCAGAAGTACTTGGGAAGTGCCTCCCATGTGTCAGTCATGAACCATGTACCAGGGAAACGCCTTCTCTGTCCTCAAAGAGCTTCAGTCTAGAGGGGAAGGTAGACAAGAAGCCCAGCCCCTGTGTAAGTGCTGTGTTGCAGGATACCGGGGACCTGCAGGAGGGATACCTTTGATTCCCCACTTGGCTTGACTGACCACCTCGGTGATGTGTTCGGCAGATGATTACTGGGCTTTTTCACTGTGTGTGGCTCAGCGCAGGGCTTGAGGGCATCCTTGGATGGTTAAATGGCAACACCCCCCTCAAGAGTTTATGATGTAGTAGGAAGGACGACCCTCTAGCCAAGCTAGGCAGATTATGAGACAAAATGAGGAACTAAAGAAAGATTGCCATGTGTCTTGTGAATAAATCAGTTACTTCTACCAGAAACGGTTTCAAAATGAAGTTGTTTTGAGGCTGAGGTGTGAGAAGGAGGGACTTATCCTTCATGTCTTCTCCCCTTAACTCTCTGGCACCCTCCGGTGCCCAGGTATCTGGGGATAGTATCTCCCTCTGCCTTAACCCTGTGTGGTACACTAGGACTTGGAGCTTTGGTCATAGGCAGTTCCTGTCGTCAGGGATGCTTGGGGGCCAGCCTGACAGGGTTGCCAGCTCCCTCCTCTGTCGCATCCTCAGTCTGGCATCGAGATGACAAGGGGTCTGGCGGGTATTGAGGGAGCTCTATAAGCAAGTTTGAACAAGAGCATCAGTAAGGCTGCTGCTGTTCTGGAACAGGGAAGGCTCATGGAAGCCAGGCCGTAAAGTGCCAAGGCTCTGTCATCAGGGGGATTTTGCTTTAAGGGCAGAGAGGGTTCCACTGGCAACTGGGGGTGTATGAATGTCCTCTTTTGGCCAGCCAGGGAGCTGCCTGGGCTTCTGAGACCTTGGCAAAGTGGCAGACGAGCCACCAAAATATACCTAATCATAAAATATACCTAGGCATAAAATACACTCCTGCTGTTGCTGAGAATGTAAGTAAACTGATGTCGTCTTTTTCGAGGGCCTTTTACTACTACCAATTAATGTTATAAACGACCCTACCCTTTCACCTGGAAATTTCCTTTCTAAGGAACTCATCCTATGGAACTTTTGCCCAAGTGCATGTGCATGTGTGTGTACAGGTATTCATTGCTGCCTTATTTGGGTTGGCCAAAGAAAGAGAAACCACAGGCTAAATGCCCAACAATAGAAGAATGGCAAGACACATTATGAAACACACACGAAGGAATGAGCCAGTCTGCACCAAGTAATGGGGAACAGCGTCTGGAATATTTTGTTGAGAAAAAGCAAGCTGCAAAGAATCACATTTTAATATTTTTAAATGACTTGTATAAGCATGAACTTATATACATACAGCAGTGTGTCTGTCTGGGCGTTGGCTGAAAAAGTGCTTGTTTCCTCTGGGAAGAAGGAGCAGGCGGTGAAGATGGAAATTCCACTTTGAATGTGGCACATGTCTGGTTTTATGAACAAGCATGTACTCCTTTTGTGACTTTTAAGAATCAGTACAAATGTTTTCAAAGGAAATAGAATGTGACAAAAAGCGCACCCAGCAGGCTACCCAGAGGTGCATGTGTTCCCTAGGAGCTGAACAGGACCTGCCGGGCCATGCAGCAGCGTATTGTGGAGCTCATCTCCCGTGTGTCCAACGAGGAGGTCACGGAGGAGCTGCTTCATGTGAACGACGACCTCAACAACGTTTTCCTTCGATATGAGAGGTGGGAGCTTGAGTTCTTTTTTTTTTTCCCCCTTGAAAAGATTGTTGCCATAACAGAGGGATTTCTTTCATAAACAAAGGAAAGAGAGGGAGAGAGAGAGAGATTAGAGTTGGGAAATACTCATCAGAGATGCTAATTTGTTCCCGGCTGACAGGGAAAATGTGTCTTGTCCTCCTGGGAACTGTGCAGCAGAAGCAGCAGGAAGTTGACGTGCAGAATTAGGCTCTGCCCTTTGTAAGCCTCAGGCTGCTCTGCCTTTCCCCACTGCCCCGCCACCCCCAGCCCCAGGGAGGGGTAGGACTTGGGGGGCTCTGGGCCCCAGAGCTTCTGCACCTGCTCCTTTGATGATCGTTTGAATTTGAAAAGGATTAAAGGGGAAGAAAAATCTCTACTAAGAAAAAGGATTTCCTCTTTCCCATCTTAAAAAAAAAAAAAAAAGAAAAGAAAAGAGAAAAAGCTTTTCCCTCTGCAAATGTCAGTGTTATCTAGAGCATTCAGGGGAAGCAGGCGGGTGTAAGTGCCGGAAAGCTGCTGCTTAGGGAAGCGCGCACACATTCATTTCAGTTCTTTCTGCAGCCACATCGTTTTTGGGTTTGAGGTAACAAACCTGCAAATTCTTTTTCATTTCCAAAGCCTTCTCTCAGGACAAAGTCCAAAATGTCTTACTTAGACCTAGTTTTAAATAGGAGGAATAATGGTAAGCACAGTTCCCATCTCATCACTTGATGGGAGCACACTGGCCTTTCACGAAGGACTCAGCATCAGGACCAGAGAGGACCAACCTTTTCCTCTTAGAGATGAGGCCTGAGACAACAGGACAGTGGCTTGAGTCCCCTGCAGACTTGAGATCGTGGTCCCCTCTGCCGCACCAGCTGACTCACAGCCTACTGCTGGCTTCATCAGGAGGACAAGCATCTGGCATCAGTTAGGGTCAGTGGGACAGATGCTTGCATTTGCATTATCCTTTGGGGGCCTAAAGGGTGGTTTGTTGTGGTTGTCACGGTCTTGGGACTTGTCTCAGCTTTTGACTATGGAAGTACACACCAGTGGCTCTGTGCCTGTCTGACAGGTGAAGAAGCCTCTGCAGTAAGTATGTGGGGGTCCCCAGGACCGCCCCCCCCCGTGCATCAGTTGGAGAATAGGAACAGATGTGAGGGGACTTGACTCCCAGCCCTAGCCCCTTTGTCTTGCCACATGTTTTCAGTTCTTCATGGTAAATGGGCTTGGGTTTAACCTGTTAAACCTGTTTAAGCCCTGCTAGAAAGCATAACAGGAGCTAACTGGTGTGGGCATTTTCACCCAAGAGTCCCCAGTCCCAGCACTACGAAGAATTCAGAGGCAAAGCCTGGGGTTGGTGGCTGGAGGTGCTGTCCTGGTTGGAGTGTCTTTGATGATACTCATTGCTCATTGAAGATGAGTGTGGGAAAGGTACCCCAGGATTAAAATTGTCTCAGATGTATTAATATTGCTGTTCTCCTTGTAGACCACTGTTGAAAAAACCACACACGTCTTTCTTACCTTTTCTCTTTTTTTTTTTTCTTTTTTTTCTTTACACAAAACTTTGAAGATACACACAAGTCTTTCTTAAAACCAAAGTAGACACTCACCGCCTACCCAGATCATTCCTTCTGGGGATCCCTTGTCACCAGACGCTGACCCCAGCAAGTTGGGAGACAAATGTGGAGCAGCTTAACTCACTAAAGCTGGGTGTCCAAGGCTCCAGCTGGAAAAAGTCTCTTGGTTACCGCTGCCCGTGGCATTTGGAGCTTTAAAATACAATACAGAACATAATCTATTCTGCCCCACCCCAACACACACCTCATAACTACTCTTCTCTTCCCTACCTGATAGAAGGACGACCTGGTTTCAACAGTTGCTCAAAGTCAAGTCCCCTGCACTGCCTGACTGGGTGCAGAGGGGACTTATTTCACCCTCCTAGCAGCCCTTCAGTGATTGGCCCAGGCCTCTCCACAGTAGCTACTGGCAAGCATCCCCCGCCTCCCCGCCATAGCAGGGACTTGCGCCTGCCTTCCTCCTCCTGGTGCCTCCCCTGTGCGTGCCCTGCCCCCTTTCCCCAGAGGTTGAGTTGGGAGCATGATAGGAACACTAGCTAGTTGCTCCTCAATACAGCCCTATGAAATAGGAATCTGCAGCTGCTGCCTGGCATTGTACATTTGAGAGCTCCAAGGTAAAGTGGCTAAGCCATCCTCCCTCCAGGGTCAAGAGGAGCTCTCTGAGCCCAGGGTGTGTGAGGAGAGGCTGGGGACACTCAAGATGGGCCACCACCTCTTTCTGATGACAACTGAGGGTGCTGGGTGAGAGGCTGATCCCCCCAGGGGGAGCCCCACACAGAGGAAGCCTTGGCAGAGTTGATGTATGGTTTCACTCCCTAGCCCCGAAGTGGGACTGGCTGGTCTTGGTTCCAGCGGCTCTTCATAGGACTAGTGAGCACTCCACAGGGCCAAATCACAGGCTTCCTTTCTCCTTACTTCTGCTTCCCCTTTCCGCATTAGGTTCGAACGATACAGGTCTGGCCGATCGGTTCAAAATGCCAGTAATGGAGTAAGTATTCCTTCAGAATTCTCCCATCTCCTGGGGCCAGACCTGCCCCTCCACATTTTGGAGGCTGGAGAGACCTCCAGTTTTTCTAACTGGGGTTGAAACATTAGGGAAATTGAAGAGCAAGCTCTGGTTGATGGGATACTAGGGCAGAGCTAGCAGGTACCCCTGATGGAAGGGTGGCAAGGGAGCCTTAAGTCTGCAGCTCCCAGGACAATCACTCAGCAACCCCTCCTTTTAGTGGGGAGGGAGAGGAGGCAGTGGGCAAGGCTCACTGACATCGAGGCCCATCATGGACCCGGAAGGCGGGTGGGGAATGTGGCCTTGCTTCAGTGCTGGAGCAGCGTTCATGCCTTTCCTCTCAGAGCCCTGCACAGTTGCCTCGCTAGCTTCTACTTCAGAGCCCGACTCCAGGGCTCTGGGGCTCATGGCCAATCTCACGTTCTGACAGGTCCTGAATGAAGTGACGGAAGACAACTTAATAGACCTGGGGCCAGGGTCTCCAGCCGTGGTGAGCCCTATGGTGGGGAACACAGCACCCCCATCTTCCCTCTCCTCCCAGCTTGCAGGCTTGGGTGAGTGTCTCACAGGGACAAAAGGACCTACCTACCTACTATCTACCACTAGGGACAGGGGAAATTCCAAGGAATTGGAAGTCATTTGCTTTTTAAAGAAAGGGTACCTGCCTTTTTTTTTTTTTCTTCTTTTTTTTTGAGACAGAGTCTTGCTCTATCGCCAGTCGCCAGGCTGGAGTGCAGTGGCGCAATCTCAGCTCACTGCAATCCCCGCCTCCCGGGTTCCTGCCTCAGCCTCCCGAGTAGCTGGGACTACAGTCATGCGCCACCATGCCCAGCTAATTTTTGTATTTTTTGGTAGAGAGAGCGTTTCACCATGTTGGCCAGGATGGTCTCGATCTCTTGACTTCATGATCCGCCCGCCTCAGCCTCCTAAAGTGCTGGGATTACAGGCGTGAGCCACCGCGCCTGGCCTACCTGCCATGTTTTATGTAGAACATTCCCTGTGATTGAAGTGATTTCCTTTTCAATATTAATTCGGTCAAGGCCGGGGACATAATCCCAGCACTTTAGGAGGCCAAGGTGGATGGATCCCTTGAGGTCAGGAGTTCGAGACCATCCTGGCCAACATGGCGAAACCCTGTCTTTACTAAGAATACAAAAAAAATTAGCCAGACATGGTGGCAGGTGCCTGTAGTCTCAGCTACTCAGGAGGCTGAAGCAATAGCATTGCCTAAACCGAGTAGGCAGGGGTTGCAGTGAGCTGAGATCACACCATTGCACTCCAGCCTAGGTGATGACTCCATCTTAAAAAAAAAAAAAATCAATATTAACTTGGTCAAGGAGAGCAGATAGGTTTCAGCTCATTGGCTCCCTGGAACACGGGTTTGAGGAGGATGCCAAAGCCACATCAGGACTTAGAAGTCTGTGATTGATTGACGATATTTGCAGAAGGCTTGGGAACAGGAGGTAGCAGCACTGACATATTGCTCTCCTTGAACTGTCCATCGGCCTAAAGCAGTCCATTGTCTGGAACTTAAAAGAAGCTCACCACTTTCCACAGTTCATTTAGTTTGTACATTCAAAGTGTGTATATGACCCTAGCGCATTAGTTATAATGGATAATACCAATTTGTAATAAATGAAATTATAACATTGAAATCATTAATAAGCGTGGCCCTCAAAATTCTTCTGTCTTGCTTTTCGGTTTCATTTTTTAAACTATTTCTCTGTCTGCCTTCCTTTCATTTAACTTGAGCTAAACTTCTAGTGGCTATCAGTTGCTATAATTCTAGCTTCTCAATATTTCATATATTTGTAGCCACTATTTCTGTATTGGAACAGATGTCTCTGCCTTCAGTCAGTCCAGCATATATGACTGCCAGATTTAATACTTAAAATTCAAATTGGATTCTGCTACCTCCCTTCTTAAAAAAACGTCTAGTAGGCCAGGCATGGTGGCTCACGTCTGTAATCCCAGCACTCTGGGAAACCAAGACGGGTGGATTGCTTGAGTCCAGGAGTTCAAGACCAGCCTGGGCAACATAGCAAAACCTTGTCTCTACTAAAAATACAAAAAATTAACTGGTAGTGGTGGCACACATCTGTAGTCCCAGCTACTTAGGAGACTGTTGCAGGAGAATCTCCTGAGTCCAGGAGGTCAAGTTGCAGTGAGCTGAGATCATGTTGCTGCACTCCAGCCTCGGCATCCAGAGTGAGACCCTGTCTCAAAAAAAAGTGTAGTGTCCACTGTGGTGGTGGCTCACACCTGCAATCCCATCACTTTGGGAGGCCGGGGTGGGAAGATCACTTGAGGCCAGGTGTTTGAGACCAGCCTGGGCAACATAATGAGACCTTGTCTGTACAAAATAATTTTAAAACGGCTGGGTGGCTGGGCGTGGTGGCTCACGCCTGTAATCCTAGCACTTTGGGAGGCCGAGGTGGGTGGATCACCTGAAGTCAGGAGTTCAAGACCAGCTTGGCCATCATGGTGAAACCCCATCTGTAAAAAAAAACCGCTGGGCATGGTGGCGCACACCTGTAGTCCTAGCTACTTGAGAGGCCAAGGCGGTGGAATCGCTTGAGCCTGGGAGGTCAAGGCTATAGTGAGCCATAATTGCACCAAGAGAGTAAGACTCTGTCTCTTAAAAAAAAAAAAAGCTGGGCACAGTGGCTCACACCTATAATTGGAGCATTTAGGGAGGCAGAAGCGAGAGGATCATGGGGTCAGGAGATTGAGACCATCTTGGCCAACATAGTGAAACCCTGTCTCTATGAAAAATACAAAAATCAGCTGATAGTGGTGACACGCTCCTATAATCCCAGCTACTCAGGAGGCTGACGCAGGAGAATCACTTGAACCAGGGAGTTGGTGGTTGCAGTGAGCCAAGATTGAGCCACTGCATGCCAGCCTGGGCACAGAGTGAGACTCTGTCTCAAAAAAAAAAAAAAAAGTCTAGTGTCTTCCCACCCACTCCTTTACCTGGCATTTGGGGTATTACCAGCCACTTCCTCCACAGATCTCTTCCTGTGAGCACTGTTCACTTCACACGCCCTGGCCTCCAAACCCTGTGCCTTTGTATGTGCCTTTTCCCCTTCTCCCCCAGCATCCTCCCTCTCATCTTTACAGACCCACTCTTGTGCTGGTTTTGAGTGTTTCCTGACATCTCAAGCCAAGCACTGCTGTGGCTTCTCTCTTGCCTACTCTGAACTTCTTGAAGCTGAGAACCATATCAGATTTAATTTGGTCTACTTGAGATCTAGCTCTGAGCATGTTGGGTGCCTCAGAAATATTTTCTGAATAAATAGGTGTCCCAGGTCCTTGACATTGTGACTGAGTTAATGAGGAGCCCATCCGAGAAGGGCATTATGGAAAATCTTCGGGTGCACTGGGGCCAGTCCCTACCTTGTCGCCCCAGCAATTTCCCTTTCATTAGGACTCTTTCCTCTCCTTTAGTAGTTTGGGGGCAGTGGCTGTCCTGACCCCTATCTGGCCCACCCTGGCTCCTCTCGCATGTGTACACTGGGAGTACCAAGGAAAGTCCTCCCCCACCCCCCACCATGGAACCTAAACTCACCTGGCTGGTGTCCTAATTTGGGGACCCTCCATCAAATCTACAATCCACATTTTGTTCTCAGCTGCCACCCATTTGTTTTGTTGCCACAGACTTGGGGACAGAGAGCGTCAGTGGCACCCTCAGTTCACTCCAGCAATGTAACCCCCGTGACGGCTTTGACATGTTTGCCCAGACGAGAGGAAACTCCTTGGCTGAGCAGCGTAAGACGTATGTGGGGCCCCTTCTAGTGGCTCTCTAGAGATACTGGGGGGGATTGACCCATGCCTGGCCACAGGCTAGCACAAAAAGGCCTTTATTTGCCATGTCCAGGACTGCCAGGAACTTTAAAGCATGGCTGTAAAGACTTGGCATTAGATGCAGATATTGAATAAACACTAACTGCCTCCCCCGTCCCCCCCACACACACTCTCCTGCCCTTGGGGTTGATTGGAGTGTGATTTCTCCTGTCAGCTGTAAGAGACAGCTTTTCTCTTTCCTCCCCATGCTGCCGCCGCTGCAGACACCACCCCGCCTGGCCCCTCATCCACAGGAGAAGCTCGGAAGCAGGAGGGTGTAGCCATGCAGGGTGAACCCCTTCCTTACAGCAAGATTGTCCTGACTGAAATACGTGGTCAGGGCAGAGGCTCCTCTGATAGCAGCTCTGGCTAGGATGAGCCATCTGGAATTCAAGGAGTTGATTCCAAAACAGAGAATCCCCTACATCTCAGGAAGGCACTGTACATGTTTTGAGCTTTCTATTTAGCCTAAAGGCAGGTGAGACACACTTTTTCCCACCTTTCCCTGTAACCCAGCATCTTGATGCACTCAGCACCCTGAGTCCTGCTTGGGACTCAGCAGGGTAACCAGAAACCCAAGGTCCCATGTACCCTTCACCAGCAAAAGTTGCTTGTAAAACAGATACAGCTAAAGGAGTCAGGGAGTGGAGGAAGGCCTCCCATAGTCAGTGACTGTCCGGGGTCCCAGAGACCACCTTCCCTGTCAAATGCCACTGAGGCTGCTGCTTATAAAATAAGAATTAATGTTACTTTGCCTTTATCTCATCTTCCCTCTGAGGAGTATTAGGGCACTTTGAACACCCTGTCATTGAGCTTCAGAGATGCCCAGTATTGTTACTCAAGAGAGGGATATTGAGGTGCACAAAACCTGAGATCGCAGAGGAGACCGGTGGCTCAGGCCGAGCGAGGACCCAGGCCTCCTAGCTTCCACTGCAGGGACACAGCATGAGCCCTTAGCCCCTGCTCAATGCCAAGGTCTCAGGAAATGTTTTTCCAAGGACATCTGAGGAAGTACCATAGGATAGAGGCAATTGCAGGCCACCGCCCCATCTGTCCATGACCACTGGGGGAGACTAACTCTGCTGCTGCTGCTTCCTCTCCAGGGTAACCTATGAGGATCCGCAGGCTGTCGGAGGGCTTGCTTCTGCACTAGACAGTCGAAAACAGAGCTCAGAAGGGGTAGGTCTTTAACCCTGTTTTTCTGCCTGGAGTCTTCTGGAAGGAATGTCAGGTGGTTTGGTAAAGCTGGCTGGGTAATTCAGCAGAAGCAGGCTTGCACAGGGGCAGGGACACCCTGGGGGAGAGACCTGTAGAGCCCAGGTAGTACTTCATTGAGTCTTCACCTCACCCTGTGAGATGATGCCACACATGAGCTTTCCAATGCACCCAAGAGGAGACAGTCCCGGGGAGTAGGAGACGGGCTAAGGGGTACCCAGAGAGCAGACAGCAAGCGGGGGGTCTGATCTTAGGAGTGTCCGACTCCAGAATCCCTGCCCTTCCTACCATGGTGGCCCTAAGTTCTCCAGGGGCAGGTCTCCTATGGTCACCTGCCACAGTGCCCCTGGGTTTTCAGTGCTCTGATAAAACCATGGCCTGCACAAGGAAGGACAGTGTGGCCCAAGCCACATCTTGGATGGTCATTTGTTGCTGGGCTGGCAGAGCAGTACCAACCCCATTAGCAGGCACTCGAGGGCCAGGATTTGTTTGAGGAGCTGGTGCAGTTGGGTGGTGGCTGGGAGGGTGTTCTGTGATGGTGCAGGGGTGCAGCACAGTGAAGTGGAGAGAATGGTACGTATTTGGGCGCCCCATGCTTTCTGTACAATTTCAGATTACTAAAGGGGAAGAGATATGTGTCTTAATGCTTCTCATGAGATTTTTCTCTTTTTTCCTAACTAAGAAATGTGTATGGATGCATGTCTGTTTGCAGGGGCAGGGAGGAGGAGGGCCCTTGGAATAGCTGCCAACAACAGCTGGAACTCCTCTCTGGGTCCCCTGGCTGGGCTAGAGAGGGCAGTGATCATCTGTCTACTGGACAGGGAGGCTTGCAAAGGGCTGTTTGCTTCCTGGGTACCAATTTTTTTTAGCCTTCTGAAGCCTCTGTCCAAATGGGCCCAGGCAGGCAGCAGTGCTGGTTTCCAGGGGATGCTCCTGCTTTGAGGGATGGGACTCCTTCATCCACGTGAGGCCCCGCCTGCTGGAGCTGAGGGCATGCATCCCTCTGCACTGGTCACCAGGGGGCGCAGAAGAACCAACAGGCTGCCTTGGGTTCTCAGTGCCCTGCCTTGCCACAGGAGTGGGCAGTGCCACCTGAACCCCTGAGACTAGGACACCCAAAATCAAGGCAGTGCTCATGGCTCTGATTCTCCCATTACTTAGAATGTCCTCCCACCTGCCCCAGGGAGGGCATTAGAGAGCCCAGCTAGGGGCCTACCAGCATACTGCCTGGTGAGGATCTCCCCTCCTCCTGGCCAACCCTGGTCTGGGTTGGGAACAGCCCTGTGCCCCTGTCAGGCAGACCTCATTTGTCCCTGACTCTGTCCATGCCAGGGTGTGTCCTGCTGCACCCCTGGCGTTATCAGTGCTGAGGCCTGGGTCTGAGCCCGGGAGATGTAAGTGACTTCCCGCCCTTCACACATGGCATGTGTGGCTGGACTAGCCCCCTGTTTTCAGAGGTCCTGATGACTCCGGCAGGTTTTCCACACAGTGGTAGACAGATTGCTTTTTTTTTTTTTTTTTGAGATGGAGTCTCACTCTGTCACCCAGGCTGGAGTGCAGTGGTGCAATCTTGGTTCACTGCAGCCTCCACCTTCCTGGTTCAAGCAATTCTCCTGCCTCAGCCTCATGAGTAGCTGGTATTACAGGCACCTACCAGCACACTCAGATAATTTTTATATTTTTAGTAAAGACAGGGTTTCACCATGTTGGCCAGATTGGTCTCGAACTTCTGACCTCAGGTGATCCACTTACCTTGGCCTCCAAAAGTGCTGGGATTACAGGCGGGAGTCACTGCACCCAGCCATCAGATTGCTTTTCATGTTTGCTGCTCAATGGAGCGATGCCACAGCCACAGCCTCAGTGATATGGGGCAGCAGGGCATGTGGGTTGTGTGTGTCTGTGTGTCCACACATATTCTTGCCCACCTGCAGCATTTCAGGTTACCTTGTCCTATCCCAAGCCACGTTGACCTGGAAATGAAAACGAGGCCAAGGGAGAAATTAAGAACACAATAAGGAAGGGGAGAAAATTATGTAGCCACACCTCCAGAAATCAGATCCAGCCAACTCAGTCAAGTAAAGGTCATCCCAGCTACGCAGGAGGCTGAGGCAGAAGGATCGCTCATGCCCACGAGTTTTTGAGACCAGTCTGAGCAATATAGTGAGACCTCATCTCAAATGTAGTATTCAAGACCTTAGAAAAAGAATACACAAGCCACTAGAAAAGAGTAAAAAAGAAAAAGTGCAGGAATAAGCTAGAAAAAAGTAGAAATGCTTTTGTAAAACTGGTTCTTTGAAAAGTTGACCCCCTGCCAACCCTGTCAGGGAATCTAGAGAAGCAGCTCTGGTCAGCCTTCTGTGACCTCCCGGAGATGTCCCAAGGGCACGGGAGTAGTTGCCATGAGTATATGTTATCCTGTTGGGACTCTTGGTTACTAAACTTTTCTTCTTTTTTCCAGGCAGGTAAGGGGGACATGCCAGGGGTGGAGGTTGGGAGCAGGGGCATTACATCTCCTTAAATGGCAAAGGGTCACGTCTGAAGAGTGACTTTTCTGTTTCCACAATATGTGCTATTGACTTCTTTCTCATGGGTCTTGCTGTGACTTTTCTTTCTGAGACTTTTCTCTCCTCGGCCCAGAAGAGAGGTAGAGGTGGGGACTCTGACCTGGAACCCATAGACAGCTGGCTCATAACCCAAGGAATGGTGAGGAGTCACCAGCCGAGCCCAGCCCACTGTCCGCCCCAGCCCCTACCTGCATAACAGCTTACGTGTTCCTCTCGTGACCTGCCGAGCCCTTGCGAATCAGACAGTACAAGGTCACATTCTCTTTCTGACAGGGGTGCCAAACTTCCCCTCCTATTTTTGCATAATCTCCATAAGCACAGATTCCCAGTCCCAGAAATAACCTCTAGTTTTCTGCTGAGGTCCCTGCCTCCTGGCCTTAAGAGTCTGGGACGTTAGCAGGGATGAGGAGAGGGTCCTTTCCTTCCTTTTACTGTCTCTGGAGCTCTGGGCAGTATTCACTTTTCCAGGATGAGCACAAGTTACTGTGGCTTTTGCTTGGGAGGGAACAATTCTAAGGGAACAGACCCAAAGCATCTGACCAGTCAAAGAAGCCCCCTCTAGCCCAGTGCCTGTGAATTTGGCAGTCCTAGGCTTGACAGTTTTTATAATATAAAACCACTAAGTCCCCCAAAAGTATTTGAAACCTGTTAAAGAATACATAGGCCTGGTTTGGTGCCTCATGCCTATAATCCCAGCACTTTGGGAGGCCGAGGTGGGTGGTCCACGAGGTCAGGAGATCAAGACCATCCTGGCCCACATGGTGAAACCCCGTCTCTACTAAAAATGCAAAAATTAGTCGGGTGTGGTGGTACTCACCTGTAATCCCAGCTACTTGAGAGGCTGAGGCAGGAGAATCTCTTGAACCTGGGAGGCAGTGATTGCAGTGAGCTGAGATCGTGCCACTGCACTGCAGCCTGGCAACAGAGCCAGACTCCATCTCAAAAAAGAAAAAAAAAAAATACACAAAACAGAAATCAAAGAAGACAAAGCCTATGGGAGTTCAATCTTATAAATGCAGTTAGTTCTCATGTAGCAGAGCTTTCTTGGCCCACAGCCCTGCAAGGGTCTCTCCCGCCTTGTCTGTTCAGGTGGCCCTGATGCTGGTGCATGGAGACAGGTGAAGTTTGTCTCGGGCTGCATGCCTTGGGATGACCATTTCACCTCTTTCAGAGCCGAGCTCTGTGTCCATGTGGTGGAGCCTGAGCTGGAGAAAACGCAGAGAAGGAAAGATGATGAAAGCAGTGGGAACTTGGGCCTCTCCCTCCAGGTGGGGCGGGGTGAGAGGAATACATAACTGCCCCTAGTGTGCTATGCCAGGCTGTGGCCGGAGGAAAGGCCAGCAGGCCCTAGACTGCAGGCAGCACAGGGGCCACCTGCTTGAGCAAAGTGTGACCAGTGAGCAGGAACTTGGGCCATGCAGGACCACCCAGAGCCATGGGGGTGAGGGGCATCTGCCTGCCACCCAGCTTGGGTGGTGCCCTCTGCACAGCTCTGCTGTCAGCCCGGGCAGGTCTCCCGCCACCTGTGACAGCAGCAGCACACTCCTGCTCTGGGTGAGGAGGCAGTTCCTCCACTGCACCCCAAGCCTGTTCTTAGAGAGATGCGCTGGCCCAGGCCTCTCATTTGCTTCTTCAGGGACAGGCTGGGCTCTGGCCCACATGTCGGGGCCCTTACAGCAGGGCTTCTCGAGATCATGTCCACTCATTGGGAAGATCCAGCCCACGTGTCCTTGTGCCTATTTATCCTGCAAAAAAGGATACTGCCCATACAAACTCCCGTGAGGGCAGCCTTGGCAGCTGGTGGTGGCGCCTGCCTCTGCCCACACAGACTGCCCCCCGCTGCCTGGTCCCCACAGACAGCTCCAGTCTCTAACTTCCCAAAAACAAACGTAACTAACAGCTAACCTGGTGTCTTGCCTGACTGACTGCAGTTTTTTTTTTTTTTGTCTTTACAACAACAAATATTAATTGCTTTGCCTTATTTCCCTTAGTGTAGAAACCTTGAGTCTTTTCAAACCTCCCAAGTACAAATTCTTTACTTGGAAACTTTTTGTACTATTGAGTGAGATCAAAGGCGTTTAGACTTCGTCTCAGAGGGGTGGTACTTGAAGTGTCGTAGGAAGGGATTCACAGCTTCTCTGGAAATAGCATACCTGAGCTAGAGAAATTGTTCCTGTTGCATTGAAAACTGCACAGGTGGGTTCCCTTGTGGGCCTGGGGCTGTGGGAAGCTGCAGAGGAGCAGCTGATGGAACCCTTATGCTCCTGGGTCTCAGGTGTGTGGAAGTTAACTACCACCACCAGGCTTATTACCGGCTGAAGAGAAATGAGGTCTGTCAACGGGCCAGCGCCGGGCGGCTCTCAGGGAGACTCCTAGGCTTGTGCTCTCTCTCCCTGGCCTCTCTAGTGTGAGGTCTTTTTGCCTCTTCTGGCTGCTGATTAGCTTGGGGTGTCTTCCTTATGCAGGGTGCAGCCAGGAAGATACCCTCATAAGTCAAAACAGGAGCAGTGGTAGGTTAGTAGAGTCTGCTGCTGCCAAAACCCAGGTGTGGGTTTGGAGGGCAGGACTCCCTACTCACACCTTGAGGCCCCCAAGGCTCCTCTTACTCTGGAAGGTTAATCCTAACTCCTGGAGCACCAGACACCCCTCTCCCCCTTGGGCAGGCAACCCTCCCTCCTGATCCCTGAGGCAGAGCTGCCCCTGCCTGCAGTTCCAAGTAAGAATCAGCAGACAGTAGCGTGGCTCACCTGCTGCTCACATCAAAACCTGTGGCTTCTGACATCCCAGATGCCTGTCTATGGACTTTGAAAATGGGCAGGGCTAGTCTAACCACTGCCTCGGCCAAGCCAGCCTGGCTGAGCTTCGGGCTGTAGGCTCTACTGGAGGGCTTTCCTGTGCTAGCTTCCTTCCCTTTTCCCTCTTCACATGTCTTCTTCCTTTCTGTCCCCTCTTCCAACTCATACTCTTCTTCAGATCCCTCAGACCAGCCTTCAGCTTGGATCATTGCCCAAGAAAATGCTGAAACGGTGGTACATCAGGCTGGGCGCAGTGGCTCACACCTGTAATCCCAGCACTTTGGGAGGCCAAGGTGGGCAGATCACTTGAGGCCAGGAGTTTGAGACCAGCCTGGCCAACATGGCAAAACCCCATCTCTGCTAAAAATACAAAAAACTTAGGTGGATGTGGTGGCACACACCTGTAATCCCAGCTACTCAGGAGGCTGAGGCACAAGGATCATTTGAACCTGGGAAGCAGAGGTTGCAGTCAGCCAAGGTTGCACCACTGCATTCCAGCCTGGGCAACAGAGCAAGACTCTGTCTCAAAATAAACAAAAATAAAAATAAAACTATGAACATCAGAGCCAACAGCCGCCTTAGGAATCTGCTGGGCCAGCCCCTAGTTTGACAGATGAGGACGCCAAGGCCTCCCAGGGGCCTGGTGACTCGCCCAAAGCTGCATGGAAGAAACAAGAGTCCCCTAGAACAACACAGTGCCCCTCCACTAGCCAGGGCCCGCTTCCCTCCCATCGGCCTGACAAGGAGTGCGTCCTCGGCCTCCCACAGTTTCTTTAGTTCATATTTTCCAAGCAGTGTACATGTTTAGTCTGATTCTGATAGCACCTACATTATTAGAAGGGACTTTGCCCTGTTGTCATACTCAAGGCATTTATTTACCAGGACAAGAGGGTTAGATGCTAAGGTTTTGTGTCCGGCCACAAGAAAGTCAGTTTTAGTGTATGTTACATAAGCTTAACTGTTAGCCAGCAAGCTGCTCCACCATGGTTCACGCCCCGAGGCCAAGTGCCTTCCATATTGTAATGAGTCACTTCCAATCATTTCTGATATCCCCGGGTTTCTGAATTAGAAAACAGAAGCACCAACCTGGGAGTTAAGGGTTCTGAGTCATTAGTATTGAAAACCAAATACAACCTAGCAAGTGCCAGATGAGGACATTGAGGCCAAGCATTGCTCAGACTTCTGTCCCCTACTCTCCACCCAAATCTCTGAGGCTTCTTAGGATAGAAGAAATTTGGGAGCTCTCAGGTGAAGAAAGTGGGGTCCAGAGAGAAGCAACTCACCCCAGGTCCTGCCACCAATGAGTGTGAGGGTCCAAATGGACCCCACCCAGTGCCCTCTAGGGCTTGGGCTGGAGGATGCCATTCCATAAACATACCACTTATTTGGAAAAATCTAGAACAGGGAAGAAAAGGGTTCCCATGATCCAACTTTTGGGAAACTCTTTGAGGGGGTGAGGAATTTCTTAAGTGTCATTGTTTATTTTCTGAGCATGCTGGCTCTCAAGATTAATCTCCAAAGAAGAAAAGTAGAGCATGATCCCAGGCTTAAAGGATTTGTTCTTCAGCAGCAACAAAACAATTACACGATAAATCTGAAGGTTCAAGGCCCCGACCCCTTAGTGTCTTTATTCTAGCTTTTGCAACACATTGGAAAGCTCAGGACATCTAATCTCAGTTTCTCCTAAGCGAACGAAAGTCGGTCAGGTGTAAAGAAAGGGCTGGTGTGCATTCTGACCGCTCATGTGGGGGTGTTTTCTCTCTGGAGACGCTGCTGACTTTCTGAGCTTCAGTTCTGGGGACTCAGCATGGCATGTGTCCTCCCAGAGGCCAGGCATTCTGACTTACAGGCATGGAGAGTATGATAACTGGCATGCCCCGTTCCAGGAATGTGCCTGCCAGCAAGCACAGAGTGGCAGATCACACCTGTGTGCCCTACAGCTTTTTGATGGGCAAGGTAGTGCCCGCCTTAGGCATTGTTAGCACGTCGATCCGTCATTTGTGTTCCACCTCACAGTGAGGACGCACATGCGTCTTGTCCCTAGGTTTCATGTCTGGGTGATGAGACTCCCTGGTGCCTTTTCAATTCAATATTCTTTTTTTTTAGACGGAGTCTCACTCTTGTTGCCCAGGCTGGAGTGCAATGGCACAATCTCGGCTTATTACAACCTCTACCTCCTGGGTTCAAGTGATTCTCCTGCCTCAGCTTCCCAAGTAGCTGGGATTACAGGTGCATGCTACCACGCCCAGCTAATTTTGCATTTTTAGTAGAGACTGGGTTTCTCCATGTTGCTCAGGCTGGTCTTGAACTCCTGACCTCAGGCAGTCTGCCCACCTTGGCCTCCCAAAGTGCTGGGATTGCAGATGTAACCCATCGCTCCCGGCCCAATTCAACATTCTTAAGTCACCAGTAAGTCAAAGAAATAATGGGCAACACAGACTCTTCTTAATCTGATCAGTGACTGGCTTGGGCCTTTCTGAAAATGATCTTGTGGGCTTCCCACGTTGGGTCTGAAGTTAGGACACAGAGTACATTCCTCAGAGCAAGGGACCAGCCGAACTCACTGAGGGAGTGAAGAGCTCTGGTGGCATCGCAGACACCTGCTCAGAGTGCTGGGTCCCAAACCACCTGGGGCCCCAAACCACCCTCCCCAACCAGCAGCAGCACGTGTCAACCTCCAGGACTGGAGTTGTCACATCACTGCTGCTGATACGTGTTCTTTGCTTTTTTCCTTTGTGAGGGTCGTGTTATTTTTTACATTTGATAGACACTGAGGTATTCCTTTTACTGCTTATTTTTACATTAGTCTTACCCTAGATCATGGCATTAGGGTGAAGCCTGCTATAGACACAGTGCTGGCATTTTTTAATAGAAATGGTGAGCCCTAGGAGGGTACTTCCCAGAGCCAGGGTAGGTGAGGAGGTGATGAAGGGCCATCACCCCATTTTCCTAGGCTGGGAGCCAACATTCCATTAACATGGCTTCTAGGGAGTTAAAGGTTACCTTTACTCCTTACCACGTCATATTTGACACATGGATTTTTCAGAGTCTCTGTTCCTGAGGCGCTTGGCACAGTGGCCCAAGCAAGGTGGCTATTTGAGCACCCCCGAGGTACACCTTAGTTCGCCTGGAAGCCACCACCTCTCTGGCTCTGGCTGCTGCACCCAGTGCTCAGCTGAACTCGGTTTCTCTGACTCCTGAAGCACAGCCAGCCACTGAGCACAGCGAAGAAGGGGCGAGACTAAAGGGAGCTGCGGCCTTCAGGGCTGCTTCATTAATTTCCCCAAAGAGACACATAGAAGACTAAAGCCCCACAGGCCCCTTGGTCATCAAAGCCCTCGTTTTTTGCTGTGTTTCTGTTGATGGTAAAATGTGCCTGCCTCTGTCTACCAGGCCACACCCAGTCCAAGGGAGCGCGCACCTCCTCCAGTGCCCCTCTCCACTCAGAAATGCGCCAGGATGCATTTCGAAATATCTTCAGCTGAGCAAACAGACCCCTACATCCCCCAGGGCTGGTGCTGCCCGCCCTCCTGAGCACCTGTACCCTGCTCTGGGCGGGCGGTCACTTGGCCTCCTCTGGGTTGGGCCTGATGGTGGACAATCACAGTGGCTGAGTTCAAAATCAACCTGCATGACAGCACCTTCCTGGGGTTAGAAGGCGCTTTGCAGCCCAGGGCTGACCCGGCAATATGAGAGTGGAAACGCATAGTCAAAAAGTTCTCCATTTGAAGAACATGTACAGCCCCCTTCCTTCCCGCTGGCCCTGCCAGGCAGCCTGCTTCTTCTCATTCGCTCCTCATTGCTTTCCTCATCTGCCATCTCACACACGGCTGCCCCATGTTGCCCCTGTGTGCCGTGCAGTGGTGTTTTTTTGCTCTGTGTACGTTTTGGTTTCATTTGGGGTTGCTGTTGATGATTTCCTTTGTTCGGTGTTCTGTCTCCCTCGCTGGCTGTGTGGGGGCTGCCTGGCCCGCCGCTTGCCGCCTCCATAGATCCCCGTTGCGCAGCCCTCTGTCATGGACGACATTGAGGTGTGGCTCAGGACGGACCTGGTGAGACTCGACTTTTATATTTCATGTGTGGGGTGTGGAGCGGCAGAGACTCTTCTGAGGACAGGCCTTGGGGGAGAGTCGGCGGGGGCTACACCCCTGTCTGGGTTGGTGGAGAAGGGAGGTCTGGGCAAGCTCCGTAGCTCCCCCTCCTCCCCGACATCAGCCCATAGCCGCAGGTGCTGCGGTGGCCTCCCGGCCTGGGGAGGCCAGCTGTGCTGGGGCCAGGCTCTGGGCACAGCCTCCCTCACCCACGCAGACCCAGCCCTGGCCGGCTCCAAAACACACACTTGCCTTCCCCCAAGTTTCTTTTCCATTTTAGATGTGTGTGCGTGCTTTGGTTTTCGGGGGAGGGGGTGGGGGAGCATGTTTTGTTTTGTTTTGTTTTTTGTTTTCTTTTTCTTTTAATTGTGAAGTATACACACGGTGCTTTTGTTTTTTAATTCGCTGTCATCCCCCTCCTGCCTTCCTAATTTTTGATTTAAAAGAACCCCTGCCCCAAAGACCCATTGTCTCCGTCCTCGGAGATAGGGCTGGAAGATGAGGATACTATGCATCTGAAAATGGCAACAGGTCCCAAGAAAGGGGAGCTGCAGTGGCTGTGATGACACCTGCTGGTCCTTCCCTTTGTTCTTTCAGTCTCAGCAGCGCAGTGGGGAGTCAGGGTGGCAGGCGAAGAAGTGCACTCTGGGAAGTGGCTTGCCCAGAGTCATGGGCTAGTTGGATTCTACCCCAGAGCTGGAGACACCTCATCTCCCTCCTAGCTGCCTACTCTGCAGGGTGTCTTGTCCCCAAGCAGAAGAGCCTGTTGAGTTCTTTAACCACAGGGTCAATCAACCTGGCTGTCTGTGGGCTGGTGACCTGACCCCTCCCACGCTAGGACAGCAGGCCTCAGGTTGGGGCCTCTTGCTGCCCTGGGCCTCCTCCCCAGAAGGTCAGGTTTTCCAAAGACATGCCTTGCCAAAGGAGGCAGCTGCCAGGGTGTCAGGGAGGAAGAACACACCCCGGGACATCTTTCCCAAGGGGATACCTCGAAAATAAAGTGCTCCTGTCACAGAAGCAAGGCAGGAAGGACCAAGGTCCTTAACTTCTAAGGGGGACCCCAGGGTCCAGACAGGGAAGGGATGTGTCCAGTAAGGCTACATAGCAGGTCAGTGGTAGAGCCAGGAAGGACCCAGGTCTCCTAGCCCAGCCCAGAGCTCTGTCACTTCCCCATCCTGCCCCTTCCCGATAAGGCCCTGCCCATGCAGGCCCCCGGGACCCCCAGGAGCTTAAGACACACCGTGTTCTCCAAACAAAATCAGATCTGATGCACTTTAA